ACTGGTTGTTTTAAAACGGAACAGACCAGACCATTTTTTTTTCTTAGTTCAGATTTGCTTCTTTCTTTACTACACACAAACACTATGTACAGAAAAAACACAATGTGTGTCTTTATCTACTCAAGGTACAGATCTACGGTGCGACTGTTGGCACTGACACTGCTCCAGTAAGAAGCTGTTTTCTGCTGTTGGTTATGGTAATCCCTGGTCAATTCAGCCATTAGTGAAAACATATAAAAACACCCTGACGTAACTAAATGATATGGCAAGTGATGGAGATTACCTCGACAAGGAAAGTTTTCAATTTATGAAAGATCAATAGATTGTCCACCGAGATGATTGTATATGATTAATTGACGGAAATGTTTTGGAATTTTATTTGAACTCTTCATGGATTAAATGACAATAGGCACAGCAGTGTGGAGCAGTGATTAGAGCTCTGCCCTCATAACTGGAAGGTTGTGGGTTCAAATCCTACAGCAGGAGCAAAGAGCTTCATATTGCTTCACTAAAATGCCCATCTGTAGAAATAAATAGAAATATAAGTTATTTTGGATAAATGCATCAAACAAATAAATAAGAAATGTAAGAAATCAGGTAAAGCCTAGTCATTTAATTTATTTGAAATTGCATCTTTGCAAATGCTAAGAGGTTATTACCATGATACGTGCTGAGATACAGTATGGAAATAAGATATAAGGCAATTATGAGTCCATTAAGTACGCATTGAGTAGTGTCCTGCTTTTATAGGACATGCCCTTGGTCAGATAGGTTTGACCAGCATTCTTGAACAAGTCATGGGTATTATTTTGGGACATTTCCAACAGTGTGAGATTTTATTTTGTGTACACGGTATTAATCGCAGTGAAAACAAAGGTTATGGCAAAACCGGTTTTTGTTGTTTTAAGTTAAAATTCAGAAAGTGTAATATTTAACTCTGCAGCAGCTTTATACCACCCTGTCACCTAATCTTGTCGCGTGAATCAGGATGCTGCTGTGAGTAAGTGGTGTAAGTGGTGTGGACTAGTATGTATTAATCTTCTAGACCAGAATCTGCACTCCAGTGCCCCAGTCTGGTGTACTGTAGGAGGCACCTTTCTGCAGATGAGACATTAAACCAACATCCTGACTACTTGCCATTAAACACGCCATGGTATCGCTTGTACAAGTGGGGTATTAACCCTGGTGTCCAGGCTAAATTCCTCTTTGGGCTGGTACAATCTGACCTACCTTACTGCATTCTCCCCTCATTTCAATTGGTGGAGTAATTTCTCACAGTTTGTTTTCTGATTTTTGTCACCAAGACTGGTGTTGTCCTTCAGGATGGAGTCGGATGAAGAGTTTCCTCGTATATATAAAGCACTGTAGGATCCTTTGGAATAAAAAGGGCTGTAAAAATCTAAGGGGTAATTATATTTTTTTATTGATTATTGCAGATAAAGGTGAGAACAGACATTCATTATGAAAAGGATTGCCTATGTCCATGGCTCATATAAGCCACTGGTCACAATAATCCCTGTAACCGTTATTAATTCCATAATGCAGTGATCTAGATTTTTGTCATGTACTCTAGAATGCTATGTGAGAAGTGTTTTTCATGGGTTTTTTTGTACTTATCAATGCATATGATTATATTTTTGTCTGCTTTCCACTTGGAATGTGTGTGTGGAGGCAATGAACATGGGTGAATTTGTTGTTTCTGATTTTAACTTCCTGCAACTCAACAAAATTATCACAGCCCTTCGATAGCCTCCTGCTGTTTGCACAACACAAATATCAGAAAGAGACCATTATTAATCTTAATGTATTTTGCCGACACTCTCTCTCATTGATTCCGAAGATTACAATAAGCTGTTTTTTTAAATATCTTTCTACCCATTTAAACAGCAGGGTTTGCTAGGGAAACATGTGAAAAATACCTTGTTCAAGAATACAACTGCAGCGACCCCCATCTGAGATTTAAAGCCACAACTGTTGTCATTCCAGAGCTAACAGCTACCCACAATTTTACTGCTCTGTCCTCATGAATACTGTTCCTTGCTCTGTTCAAATCTTGTTCCGCCACTACCAGATTCTGTAATTGAATTTCTTGCAGCATTAAGTTCCTACATCAGATTCCAGAAAGAAGACATCATCCCATCACTTGGAACTGAGCCAAACTTCGCATTCATTGTGAGAAAAAGCTCTGGATGTTTGTTAAAACTCAAAACTGCCATACAAATCTGTCATACAGGGTACACCTGTACTGCTGCTGTCTGTTGAATGTCAGTTTGACATATACGCCAAGATTTTCTTTTAATTTTCTGTTTAGCCCTAATGTTTCACCTTTTACGAACTGCATAGAAATGTATGGACAACTGAAAAGGATTTTTTTAATTTCATGCTGGCACAGGTTTTTTTGAACTTGTGAAACATTCAGTACGGAGATGACATAACATGAGTCATTTTCCTGACTGAGTGTTTACTGCGTCACAAAAATAACTGGAACATTAGAAAGGAGGTTGTCTTGGCAACTCAAACCTTATTCACTCTGTGGCTTTCAACCAGACTGCCACACTTCAAAATAGAATCTCTACTATTCAATCTCGGTCTCTGTGTATTACACATTGTATTTACTATTCTTGATTAATACATACTGTATATATGTCCATCACTACATGGACTGCACAACCAAACAGGTGTAATATTATTTCATTTACCCTTACCACTGTACAAGAGGAGTTATGTTTGTTCTGTTATTCTTTAGACCCAGAACCCTTTGCGTAAAAATGTGTCTCCAATTCTCAGCTGTGACCAGTCTTCCAGTAAATGCCTTTTGTGTCATTATATTTGGTGGTATTTTTGAGTATTGGGGACTTTTTTGTTCATTTCTGGATTTTAGATTACCCCCTAATTAAAAATTGCTGTGCTGTTCTTTGTGCCTGGCAAAAAAAAAAGACTCTTTTACACCTTGCTCTCTGCCTTTCTCTGCAGTGTTTGCCTTGTAGTGTTTTGTAATTTGTGGTTTCAAGTAGAGCAAAGTACCACAGTCTTCAATAAAAAAATTTAAACTGTATAGCATTTCCAGTTTCTGACGAAGGGAGAAGCTCTTCTTTTACAAGTACCACTAATTGAAAGAAGGAATGCTTTGTTTAATGGCTGGGTATGTTTTCACTGCCTTCTGGGGGGGGGGAGGGGGTACTTGAGATGAAAGAGCCGGCCATGGGGAGTGGGGGTCCCGCTTTTCAAAAGAAAAGGAATTGGCAGTCCTTTCCGGAGATCAGTGGTCCCTTCCACATATGAAATCTTCAGTCTAAATCTGAACGTGGTTTAAGAAAACACAAAGCGGTCGAAAGCTGTTTCTGTGGTCAAATGGAGCATCGGTTCCTGCTTTGTCTGCCTGTGAACTTTGAATTTGTTGTCAGCATGCATGTTTGCTTTAGCTTTCCTTTCATTTTCCAGCACACTCTCCTCTGCTGTGAAAGCATTTTCGTTTTTTCATTTGGGTTCAACCTAAAGAGCCCCTGAACTTTGAGTGCCACCAAAAGAAAATCTGTTTGCTTCTTTTGTATCTCGGTAATATGGCCTACAGATTTTTTTTTAAATAAAACTTGTGAAATGTGAAATGGGTTGTACAAGGCTTTGGTCAGTCTTTGAAGTTTTTTACTCTGTAGCCGTTCACTATTCAAGTCAACTCTCTCATATTTGTCCCAAACCTTTGCTTCTGGGCTGTTAAAGTTGAAGGAGTCAAGTCTATCACCCATTTTATATAGTAGAACCTTATAAACATCCTTGCTAGATACGTGAAAGGCAACATTTTTTTGGAACAGATACCAGCCCTCACGTGGTTAGTGTTACTGAAGAGAAATTCTGGGGAAAAGAAAAGTAATGAAATGCTGTAGACCTGTTTCATGAGGTGTTAGAATATAGACCTGGAGATCATGAAGTTCTCCGTGTGACAGCATAAAGTTTGTGTGCATGGTGACAGCTTCATGTCTGAAGAGAAACCCTGTGAAAACCTCCCATCTCTGCAGGCCGCCAGAAGAGGACCCATAATGACTGTTAACAATTTTCAGATGAAAGCCCTTTTTTAAGAGCTGTTGGAGAGTGTCCAAAATGGGGGATAAAATGTGTTCTGAATTAAGCAAACATTATTCAGGGAGGTGGCATTGCTTTGATGAATCTTTTTTTGTGTGGTTAAACTCGCTAACACCTTAAATCCACCTAATGCGCTGGGAAGTTAACATAAGAACATAGGAGAGGGTAAAATGAAGAGGAAGCCATCCAGCCCACCTTGTTTGTTTGGTTGCTAGTAGCTAATTGATTCCACAATCTCATCCAGCCGTTAGTGTTAAAGTTGCAAAGCTGTGCTGAAAATAGCATATGACTTCTTTGAACATCTTCAGCCTGTTCTGAAATTTGCATGCGGTTCTGCCTAGTTGATTAACTATCTTCTTGAGTAATTTTTCTCTGGAACGGTCTTCAGTCAATAGATAAAAGAGTAAATAATAAGCAGTTGCTTTATACATGCACCATTTGTAGCATTTAATAGATCTCTAATTAGAAACCTAAAAATGAGCCTCTTGATTAGACTGCCAGCTTTTCAGCTGCGAAATTGCCAGTCAAAAGTGACGGCTTCTGAGTGTTTTGAGCTCTGGGGTTCAGCATTCACTGCGAGAAGCAGAATGTTTGCTCTACCATGGAAAATAAGACAGAATTCAGGAGAATTTTCGAACACTACCACCATGATTCACATCTCCAGTATCATGTTACTTAGCTGAATATCTCTAGCCTCGTTGTTTGACAATCCAGCGATTGTTAGTTGAGCCTTTACAATTGTACAGGCTGTATAGCCTTAAGAGGGTTGATGCTTTCTCCAGCTTTGACATCGTCAGGTGACAAATGAAGGATGTTTGAGGCTTCAGTAACAATCCATTCCCTCTCACATGGACAATCAATCTGCTTGTTCTGCAGTGTTTTAGGTAGAGCAACTCTTGCTAGCGTACTTTGTTACAAATAATGTGTTTTTTTATTTTTATTTTCAGGCACGTCCAGCCATGCTAGAAGACAAAGGTCACCGAGTGACTGACTACTTCGTGGTGGCCGGGCTGACTGAGAAGTCCACCCCTCTGGAACAAGATCTCTCGGAGACGAAGTCCAGTGGGCCCAAGGCACCCATCACTGACCTCGCAGTCATCATCAAGTCAGCCGGGGAAACTGTGCCCGAGGGCTTCACCTGCATTGAGACCACCTACACGGGGCAGCCTGCCAACCTCAACCATGGCAGCATCAAGAGCCCCGAGCTCTTCCTGTGCTACAAGAGGGGACGAGAGAAACCCCCGCTCATTGACATCGGGTGAGGGCTCCGAACAAACACAGGCTGCACACCACACCCTGATCCACAACAGCCTCTAGTGATGGACTGTGTGCGTGGCCATCTTTTCTCCAAAACAGCTTCTGCATTAAAAATCATTGTATTGCTTGTAAATCTTATTTAAACCTCTAGGCATTAAAACCTCAAGTTCGAACATGCACTGCAGCCAATTCTTATTAGACTCTTACTTTTCCCCTGAAGAAATGGCACAGCTGCTCTGTCAATAGATCTTTCGGTATTGTATGAAGCTCTTTTGAAGATGGTTGTATAACAGGTCTTAGTATTATTTTACACAGCCTTCTTTCTGAAGGAGAATATCACCTTCTGCTTCTCTGTTTCCCACAGCATATCTTTTACAAAGTGCAAAGAGAAAATGAAGTAAAAATGACCATTTCAAGTCTTTGGAAACCCACTGTTTCCAAACAAAATGGTGTGGATATTAGTTTACACTTCTGATCATTAGGGATGGAGTTGTCAAATCATTGTCCATTTGTCATGCCAGCTTTATGTTATAGGCAGGGGGATTTTTGGGATAGAGTCTGAAGTGGGCTTATGGTGTCTGAGGCTAAAGAACAATATCTTTTGACAAGTCTTGACATTTTGAGAACCTTTCCCAAGTTTCTTGTGCTCCACCTTTGTTTGTTCTGTTGATTATAAGTGTTCTTTTGAAGGTGCGGTTGGTTCATCAAACTAATAAACAGTAGTTTCCAGGAAAAGGACAGAAAGACTCTGGTTTCACATGCTTACTAATAAAAAACGGCTGCTGCTTAATTCTCTTATCTTTATTGGTGGATATGAGGGAAGATGGACTGGTGGAGACACTGAGCAGACAGCACTGCACTGTGTGTAGGGCATTCCTTTACAGTGCTATCTTAGTTAAACTTTCAATGGGGAAAAGCTGGAGTTTAGTGTTTCATGCTGTCAGTATTATGGGGATAGACAGTTTATGTACATACAGGAGACATGGTTCCTGAGCATTTCAAGTAGAATACCTCAACTCTGCAGGTTAAGTTTCTAAAGTCAGGAATCGTTTGGGTTGAGAGGTATATGAAAATAATGATAACATTTTAGTTTGTGTGAATTGACAGTGTGGAGATGGTTCTGAGATGAAGATCAATACTAATTTCAGATGCATTAATAAAAGTGAAACTTTTCCAAGGCATTGTTTGGGGGGAAATCAAAAATGGCACACGTTGAGAAAGGAGTATATGTGAAATACCTCCTTTAATGTTGACTACTGCTAAGGAAGGAATACGTGCTTGGACAGTGTGCATGCATTATTGATTGACTCTTCTGGCATCATGAAATATCCAGTTCCAGTGTGAACCTGAGTTCCTCTCTGCTCAAAGAGAAGGGGACTGTGATGCAGACACAGGATTTTCTAGTTAGGTGGATTCATGAAGTTTGTTGCCACTAGCTAAAGCCTAGAGTTGCAGTCTTGCTGCTTACATAGGCATGGATCAGTAGTCATTTCATTCTCATACTTTCACTTGATTTAGAAACCTGCTTTTGAACAATACCTTGAGCATGGTTTTTTGTGTGTAGGCTGGATATATGGTACATTAGGGGACAACTGGAGTTTAGTAATAGCTTTGCTGTTTCTCCTGACCTGAAGGTGATGACGTGGTCTTGGAGTCCTGTCTGTTTTTCAGAAGGTGTTCTCTGTGACTTACTGGGCCTCTTGCCAGTGTGTGTCTGTGAACAGCCCTCTGCTTCAGGGCAAATAAGTAGGCTCAAGTTCCCAACAAGACAGCAGCATGCACACCCCTCTGCTCATGCTCACTCTACAGTGCAGAGCTCAATGGAGACAGGTGACACAGAGCCATCACAGTGGCTTGTGAGCTTCCACCAAAAGAAGTCCAAGTACTCTTTTAAGCTTTGCAAGTGTTGGCTGATATTAATGCTTTATGCAACTGAGGATACGGTTACTGTTGGTGCTGATACACTTGTATTTGACTTAACTCTGTAGTACAGAGTACTAGTAGGTTGTTAGGTAGTTAGCTTTATCATTTTTGACCCATACATCATACATTTTATGCAAAATGTTTAGCCACTTGCCAGAGAGTGGAGCTAATTGTTTTTCTTAAAACATGTTAAAGAGAACTACTTTTTCATGTCCTATAGTGAACATCTGTTTTGGCACGATGCTGTTTAAAGGAGAACCGCTGTTTGTGCTGACAAAGAGCTGTCTGATTTCTTCTTTATTCCTTAACTGCTAAATTGTTTCCTTGGGTAGGTCAGAACCGCTGTTTGTGCTGACAAAGAGCTGTCTGATTTCTTCTTTATTCCTTAACTGCTAAATTGTTTCCTTGGGTAGGTCAGAATTAGCATTAATACCCCCTATTTTGCTGTTGATGATTTCAAGGAAAAGGCTGCAAAAATCCATTACCAGTACTGGATTGTTAATGTTCTTTAACATTCACTCAATGTTTTAATGGGTGGAGTAGAAGAAAATGTTTTTCAGCCTGTCGTCTTAGTAGGAGAACACAAATTGTAGGGTCAGGCTTGTTATAATTTTTGCATATATTTCTTTTTTAAGTTCAGTTCTAATAGGGAAATTTATGACACTCAATATGACCTGCAAAAACATTTCAAGGCACACCTGCTCATGTACTGAAATTCTTATGTCCTTTCTGGAGTTATGAGTTACTGGCTGCAGTTCTAATGGCTCTTGAACTCTTCTGAAGTTCCACTTGCTTCTTCTGAAGTATTGTGTCTATTAAGGTTTATTAAAAGTCAGGTTGATATTCTTTTAAGGTGAGTAGAGTAAGATGTTAGTTTTTAAAGTAGAGTGCATTGTTGCTTGGCTGTAAGGTACATGAAGGTCCGTCTAAACAACTCTTTCAGGTTAATAAATTTGAATTTAATTTCCTAAATCACAACACATAATCCTATATTACAAAAATAAGCTTCATAGATTTAAATCATTCCTGTTAATAGTTACTTTTTTATTTTCTGATATCTTTGCCAATCTGGATTTAAAACAGAAGAGATTTTGAAGGAAATGCACTCTATTGAACAAACCTCTCCATTTGGAATAAACCTGACTTTATAGAATGGGAACTAGTGTACAGACGTGCATGATAGTCTTCATTCGAGAATGGCACAATCCTTTAACGTAAAATAGCATCTGTTCTACGGCATGAACTGAAAGCACGATGAGGAAAAACAAAACATATCTTATATGTGCAGGCATATCGTACTGCAACAACAAATGGACAGATCCACAGTATTATGTTCTGGTTCCTCCTTGATAAATGCTCTTGTACTTTATCTTGTGTAAGATGCAAGTGTGGGTGATGATTGCAGCCCCACCATTATGCTTTATCTGGTGTTATGATAAGGCACCTTGAAGAGCACATAACTGCATTTATGTAGCTACCAATAGAAATAATAGCATATAGTTTTGGAGCTGGGGTCAACTGGCAGCAGATGACAGTAACCTTGCATATTTGGAAAATGCATACAGCTTTAATCTCCAGCAAACTCAGAGCTGGCAGGTCCATAGGCAATATAATAATTGCCTGTTTGTGCTGTTGCTTATGCAGTTCATCTAGATAATAAGCATTTGTGTTCTCCTTTTATTTGATTCTAAGACAAAGAAATTGGTTTCGGTAGCTACAGGGAAATTAGCTTTTGTGCATACCAAATTTTCAGTTTTTCTGAAATACACTACATGGTTGGCTTTGCAGCAGATTTTGTTAAACTGCTACCATGTAGCTTCAAGTCTTTTAAATTTAAAACATCCGAGGCCTTTTTTTGACCAGTGTAAAAGTTATACGTAGAAACAAGCACGGGTTAATTCGTCACTGAAAAGGGAAAAAAAAATCGACAAAACCACCTTTCAGCTGTGGTGCCTTTTCAGGTGTGTCAGGTTTTTGTCTCCATTTTCCAGAACGTGTCTGACTCTGATTAAATCCTGTTTAGTTCTTATTTAAGGCGAAGATGTTTGTTTTGTGGGTAATTGACACAGCCCTGTTTTTCTCAGTGCAGCAGTGGAGTGCGCTGGGGCTTGTGAACACATCAGTAATCGACTCCTGTGTGTTCAGAATGGGAGCTTAACCGGCCTCCCCAGTAAAGTGCTTCCAAAAGGGACCACGGAGGCCCTAAGGAAGGGTCTTTTTATTCCTGAAGACGGTAATTAGTAATTACATCTGTTCCTGCTGGAGCAGCCTTTCTGTAGTCTTTCGATGGGTCACTGTGCTGGTCAGCGTGTCATACTTTCCGACAGTGAAAACAGCGAAAAACCGAGCTCAAGCAGAGCTGGTGCGCGCTGTCTGCAGCCGTGGTTACTGTTGTTTGTGAACTGCTCGCTCACGGTCCTGTCCCTGGAAACTCCATGGCAGTATTTGAGAAGGTGGAGAAAGTTTGCTCTCTTCTGACAGTTTGGACCACAGAACAGAGAAATGGCCTCTTTTGTCGTTTGTTTTATTTGCTTGTTTCAGAGTACTGACCTTTTGACCTTTACTAGGAGCCTCTTACATGTCCAGCCACCTGCATTCAATATACAGTTCGCAAATCCCAGTGCTAAAAGCCTTTCTTAATGCGAAAGGAGGAACAGTCTTCAGTTGATCAAGTAATAGATTTATTCCATGCTGAAAAAAAGAAGAAAGAACACACAACGTTTCAGCCGTGGAGCCTTCTTCACACCTGTGTTTTCTTTCTTCTTTTTTTCAGCATGGAATAAACCTATTACTTGTTCCTTTTCAGGCTAAACATGCTGATGCAGCTACTTACCTGAACTACTACAGTCTTCAGTTGCTGCCTTGTATACTTTTTTTGGGCTCTTTAGTTTTCCTTTGATACATATGAAAGAGATTTTTCTTAGATATTGTTCACACCCTTCTGAAGATATATATATTTTTTTCCACATTTTCCAAAACTTATAATTTGGAAGGGGTTGCAGAAAAGCAAAAAGGAAAAAAAAAAGTTCAACAAAGTGAAGGTCAAGCACGACAGCACAAATTTGACAGAAGAGCTTTTTAAATAAAAATACTTCCTCTGTTGATTTATAGTCATAGGGGAAATTGCAGTTCTGTTCAAGTTCTTTTAAACAGACTTTGCTATTTCCAATACAAAACAAAGATAAGAGGCAGACCTGATCATTTCCATGGAATCATAGCTGGACAGAACCAATTCAATGAACAACAAAACCAGGCTGTGAACTTCACAGCACGTAGGTGTTTAGAAATGTGAGTCATCACGGAAGCTTTTTCCACTGGGCTTTTTTCCTTCTCCCTTGATCTTAGTGTGTGTGCTTTTTCATCCTTTTTAATTTTCAGATCTACGTCCCGCAGAAGCTGTTCCAGAGTAAGAATGGAGTGCTGATGGCTTACAGCACATCCTGGCTTTCAGCAAAGGGCTGTTCAGTGGCCAGTAGCTGCTCTGGTGGCAGCACTTAGACCTCCAGTTTAATGTAGCCATAGGCTCATGGGTGTTTGTGTGAAAGCGGAAAACTCTTAATCTGCCCCTGCTGCTACCTGTATTTATGCCCAGTAAAATCTGATAATAACTCCAGTCAGTCTATTCATGCAATTGATTACTAAACTGTTCCCTTTCAGATAAGCTTTGCTCTGCATATATTTCCTATTCATTATTTAACCAGTCTTATTGTGTTTTTCTGTAAATGTCAACAGTCTGAAGGCTATTGATTTCAGAGACACAGAGGAGATTACTAGATGTCTGCAAATACAAAAAGCCTCCTTTGAAATTGTTTTTTTCTGCTATACTGTATATTAAAAGTTCACTATTTTCTTTAAACTTATTGCTTAATGTTGATTTTTTTTCCTGAATTTTTTAAAACTCTTGTTAAAGAAGCAGACATGACTTGTTTCCAGAAGTAGACTTCTGACTTTATCCGGTTGTGTTTAAAAGGAGGAAAACATTTCTTTCTTCACAAGTTACTTTTGTACTAAAATACTGGAAATTTGGACTGCAGAAGGATTATGCGTTTTTTTTCGGGGTTTCCAGCACTGCCTTCAAGGTGGTTGTTTCCGGCTGGTTTGTGGGGTAAGTGTGACTGTGCTGGAGGTAACAGCCCCTGTGTGTTGCCTCAGGGTGCTGTATGAGGGCAAGGAGAGGCTGATCCAGGGCTGTGAGGTCATCCAGGCCACGCCCTACGGCCGCTGCGCCAACGTCAACAACAGCTCGGCCACCTCCCAGCGCATCTTCGTCACCTACCGCCGCGCCCCGCTGGTGCAGCCCCAGAACTCGCTGGCCGTCACGGACATCTGCGTGATCATCACCAGCAAGGGGGAGACCGCGCCGCACACCTTCTGTAAGGTCGACAAGAACCTCAACGGTGGCATGGTAAGACCCCTGGGATCTCGGCAGCACGTGTTCTTTTTTTCCAATAGAATTGTACGTTTCACCCTGCAACTCGCAACTGGCAGCCCACTGAAGCTCAGCAGGTGCGAGCCTGGTCAGTACCTGGATGGGGGACCGATAGGGAAAAACTAAGGATGCTGCTGGGAGTGGTGTTAATGGGGCCAGTAGGGGGCGCTCACCCTGCGGTCTAGGTGGGCCATTCTTCGGATGAGACATAAAAACGACGTCCAGACTCTCTGTGGTCATTAAAAATCCCAGGGCATTTCTCGAAAAGAGAAGGGGTGTTACCCTGGTGTACTGGTCAGATTTTCCCCTGTCCCTTACTGATCATGGCCTCCTAATAATCCTCATCTATGAATTGGCTTCTTCACACTGTTCTCCTCCCCACTGATAGTTAGTGTGTGGGGAGCGTACAGGCGCACAATGGCTGCCATCGCATCATCCAGATGGGGCTGCACATTGGTGGCGGTAGAGGGGAGTCCCCATTACCTGTAAAGCACTTTGAGTGGAGTGTCCAAAAAAGCACTATATAAGTGAAAAATTATTCATTATTATTATCAAATAACTTTTTTTTTTCATTTGTTTTTTTTTCAGTGGGGCTCCAATGTCTACGTGTGTTACAAGAAATCAGTCTCTGCATCCAATTCAATAGCTTACAAAGCAGGTAAGTTTCCTGTGGTGAATCTGAATCCAAAAGGCATTGCTCTGTATCTCAGCTGTCATGACTCATATCGGTACATGAGACGGCATCTGTAAATATGAAAGCCTAGAGAAACAAATTTGTCGTAAGTCCTTACTTTCAAGGACATTTTTTAATGTGAGTGATTAATGCAAATAATTATAGAGCTGTGGTTCTTAAATCAGTCCTGAGGCGACTGCTGTGTTTTCCGTTTTATTCATCCATATATTTTCAAGCCATTTCATCCAATTCAAGGTCATGGGCGAGCTGGAGCCTGTCCCAGCAAGCAGTAGGAGCAAGACAGGGTGCACTGTGGAGGGGACACCAGTCCTACTTAGACACACACACTCACACCAGGGCCAGTTTTCCCAGAAGCCAGTTAACCTACCGTATGTCTTCGGAATGTGGGAGAAAACGAGCGCACCTGGAGGAGACCCACGAGAACACAAACTCCATGCAGATAGTAGCCCAGGAATTGAACCCAGGGCCCCAGTGCTGCGAGGCAGCAATGCAAACCACCACACTGTTGTTTTTCCCCTTTCTGTTTTATGCTCCAGACAAGTTCTTAATGATCATATTGATCTCTAGATACTATTTTGTAGATTTTTACCAGCATCCACCTTCTGAGTTTCAGGACTTCCTTCTTTAATGTGTGTTATCAGAGATTTAAATAATGATGAGATTACTGTGGGATTGTCTGATAACCTTATTCGGAACTATGTTTGCTTAGCACGTACTGAGAGCAAGTTAATCAAGTTGAGGAGAGGCTATGTAAAGTTCTGTATGCTTCAGTTGTTGGAAATAACGAACAATAAAATAAAAAAATACACTTTTTATTTTAGGATGTTTTTTAAACCAATGACTGACGTCTCCCTTTGTTACTATTAATCTATTAAGGGTAAAGATATCTGGATATAACATATATGACCTGAAGGAGTAGTTGTGTTCAGTAAGAAAGGGACCCATAGTGATTTCAAGAAAAGAGTGGTTAGAGAAGTCTAGCTATATGAATATTATATATGATAATGATGGTAGTGTAGCACAATCAGGTCTTTTACTTTTTGTCTGGGTTAGAACTGACTGATTGGCCTCATAGTCTCTGGGATTTATGCTTGTGTGCTTTAAACAAAATCCCAAGAAGTGTGCCCCTTACCCCAGGTCTCTCGTCCAATTCCAAACCATTTTTGGCTGCTAAATTTTGTGATGAGTTGTTTGTCTGCATGTCAGTATGTATCTACACTTGAGCTACAAAGCTAAAAAATAATTCTTAAACATTACGAAGGTTTCCCATAAGGTGTTCTTTCTTGTGAGCCAGATTTAACACGAAGTGAAACTGTGGTCCCATGTACAGTGCCTTTACTTCTGTACATGGCTTGGCTGGACAGTGTGGCTGAAGTGCTGCTACGTGTAAGTTCAGAATATACTTGCAGGTCTTATCTTGCAGTGTTTTACTTCACACACAATAGCTCTGTTTATTCATCTACGAAGGTGGGACTTCCTTTTTATTTTTTTTAACATTGTCTGGCAGATCTAAGGCTTAGATTTGTGCTTATAGTAGGTGTAGGGTGAAGCCATGTAGGTCCACTGAAAACATGTTTGGGAAAAACAGTTGTGAATACTAAGATTAGTTACGCAGTTGTCAATCTTCAGATGTGGGTTTTCTTTGTCTTATGGAGTGCATACTTGATTTGTATCCAATATAACAGAGCATTTCCAGTCCACTTCTTTGTTTTTGAATATTAAAAATATTTTCTGATTAGTCAGGTTAGTTCCAGCAGTTAGCAAATTACAGGGACTTCAGGTCTAAGACGTAGTATAATAGCTGGCTTGAATACTTGGACAAAGGATTAAAATCTTTGATATGATGTATTAATTAATAAGCTCAAAACTCAAATATGCTACATAGAAAATGTATATATCCTGTCCAAAAGTGCTATACATTAATCCCACAATGCAGGTATGGGCTGTTTTGGAATGAACTCGTTTCCCTTGCCTCCTGAATGAAGATTCGGTGCCAGGAACCTCTAGGTGTTGATGATCTCTGTACAATATTTGATGTATAATTCATCTAGACCTGTTGTTTGTGTTTTTCAGGATACCTTTGTATTAACTTCAGTCATGTTTTGGTAGCACTGCGTGTAATTCTTCAATAATCCAAGATTCTTGAACTAAGTTTTCTTCAGTGTCCATCTGCTGATGTAAAAGAAGGTCTCCTTTTCACTGACGTCACTGCTCTTGTGGTTCTCTTGTGCCAAGTGAGGATGCAGGATGGTTTTAATGTGCATGAGTCACCCTTGGGAACTGAGCTGATGCTACCTTATGTGTTCCACTGGAACGAGCGAGAATGAGTGAGAAGGCCAGTGAGCACCTGTCTGACACACTTTTATCTGCTGTGCCACAGGACTGATCTTCAGGTACCCACAGGACGACTATGAGTCATTTCCGCTGTCGGAGTCAGTGCCTTTGTTTTGCCTTCCCATGGGAGCCACTGTGGAGTGCTGGGCACCCAATACCCGCTACCCGCTGCCTGTTTTCTCAACTTTCGTGTTAACAGTATCTTCTGGGGAAAAGGTAAGCTTTTCTAGGTATCCCACAAGCTCTTTAGATGTTACAACAGCAAGCAACAGGATGTAAACAAAATATTTTAAGGAAGAAGAATATTGTCAAAACATTCCCTCTCATTGGGACTTACCTTTATTGTAGATGTTGGAACACTGCTTCATTTGAGATATAATATAGCTCATTGTGTTTTTAATCCACCTCTGGGGTACCTCTGCTTCATACAGAATCCCAGGGCTTCATGTCCTATCCCTATGCTGGAATTCACAATGTATCCAATTTTTCCCACAATCCCTCTGAAAGTGGAGCAGTGAGGTTCACTGCATCCCCTTACAATTGGTATATCCAAGCATCAGTTTATGCTGTGTTATTCTGAATCTCTGATTCTGTGTAACATGCATGTAGATATTCAATCTGTTGGTGAAATAAGCACACCTAAGTGAAGCAAGCTGCACTACGTTTTACTGCAATGCCACATTTAAACTACATACATATGTCAGGTGTTGATGTACTGTACATGCAAAATGGGAAGCAGGGAAAGAGGTGATATTAGAAGGAAGACATCAGTTGAAACGAACTGTATAACCTTAGGGTTTTAAGGGAGTATACCGTGAAAAAAGTGCAAACACAGGTGGTCTATTAGGACTTTTCCTCATCTTAATTTGTGTCAATGATCAAGGTTCTTGTATAGTTAGTACAATAGCGAAGCTTGCTGAGAATAACTTGCTGAGAAGGTGCAAAGGAAATTCAAAGAGATTTAGATCAAATTCAATAAGATCATTTACATCTTAGTTACATTACTTACGGTAAAATACTGCTGGTTATGCAAAATGATTCTATGGTGTTTTATAATTTCAGTATTTAACATTCTAATTTCACTTGCAATATACCATTGTATTCGACAAATTACAGTAATTAATAAATCAGTATGGTTAATTTATTCATGATTTCCCTGCATCTAATATTTTTTCAGATTTTTTGCTTAGATAGAGCCAAAATTGTATAAAACTTCTGAAGGCTTGTTGCCTGGCTCTTGTCCCCTTACATGCCTGCAATCAACCAGGTATAATGGCCTCCCTTGCTCTTTTTGTCTACTCTGGGCAGGTGTACGGTGCAGCTATCCAGTTTTATGAGCCTTATCCTGTGGAGCTGCTGACGGACAAGCAAAAGATGCAACTGGGCCTCCTCAGCACCGTGGAGAAGAAGATGATCCCCAACAAGCTGGTCAACACCAATAAGTGCATCTGCCTGCTCTCTCACTGGCCCTTCTTCGAGTCCTTCCGCAAGTTCCTCATGTTCCTCTACAAGCTCTCCGTCTCCGGGCCTCACCCTCTGCCTCTCGAGAAGTAAGTCTCACAGAATCTTCTGGAAAAAGAGACATATCTGAGAAAATGCCTTTCCTTCAGTATTGCTACAGGAGAGATTCTGAAAAATTGTGAAGTGTTTTAACAACACATTTATTGGTTACCCCATATCAAGTGGGGCTTTTATTCTTATTTAATGGAATTTTGTCTCCTTTCACAGTTTCAGTCTTGGTCAGTTTGTTTTCTCGTTAACTTGCATTCTTGATGATAAAGAAATTATCTACACACATCATACAGAACTATAGGTTTGTCTGCACAGTGCTGAAATGTAACACTAGAAAGGAGATTTGCTTTTATTTGTGGAGAGGGCAATGATAGCAGCCCTGTGCTGTGCAGAGAGAGCACTCCCACTCCTCTGCCATTACTGCTAATAACTGTTCTTATGTCACCAATGCATTTTCTGACATTTGCTAAATCTCTCAGAATAGTAGTGGTCTCACAGAAATACCTTTAAATCATTATTTCCTATTAATCAAAAAACTTTGTAGACCATTTTACTTTAGAATTATGGTATTTGTGCAGTCCATTACAAATATAGAAACTAGCACACAGAACATGCACACATAATAATAATAATAAGAATGATCACTATGAAGATGATGATGACATGCCATATTTCTTGTAAATAAACACCTCACATCTTTTTGTTGTACTTTTGTCAATTTTTATTCTATTTTTCACAGGCACATCTCCCACTTTATGCACAGTGTGCCATTCCCTTCACCTCAGAGACCTAGAATCCTAGTTCAGGTAAATTCCTTTTATGTTTCTGGATATATTTTTTAAAAGCCGACATAACCTTTTAACTCAGAACCTTTGATTTATTGTCATAGTGGTCTCCGACTACTTTATTGAGTTGTGTTATATTAGTCAAATGACAGCGGTCAGAGATCGGGGTGGATTGTCACTAGCTGTGATCCAGTCAGTTTAGGTTGAAAAGTCCCAACTATCCGTTTGTGAGTAGTCTTGTCATGAGCTATTTTTGGTGGAATAGTACATAACGTGGCCCAAAAGAAACCAAGAATCAACAGAGAATCATACAGAGAACACCTTACCAGCACATGCAGCTAGTAAGAAAAGGACATGAAGGAAGTTCTAAAGTCTTGTAAAGTTGTGTTCTCAAATATTTTGTCCATTTCTAAAGAGTTAATGCAAGGGGAAGGCACATTGCCAAATGTTTTATTTTTTACAAATCAAGCTGTGAATGACTTGCATATATTTGGTACGTTGCCCTGTAACAAAAGCACTTTGTGGCTTTATGGTCTCAGGACACACATTTTACATGAGCTGAATTCACTGTATGGAGTGCCTGTCTACATTAGCAGCACACTGGGATTTTACATGTTCTACTTTTTCTGTCATCAAGTCCTCAGGTTACATTCCCTCTACAACAGGAACAGGACCAAGTATAGTCTAAAGTTATAAATGTCTGCAAAAGAAAATATACACCTGACAACAGACATATCTTAAAAGAGTTGTCAGTGTTTCACTGTGTGAAGTCAGTTAATCATTTATACAATAAGGGCAAGTCCGTTTATGCATTTCAAAGTGTTTGTGATGAATGTTGGCATAAAAGAAAGAAAAGCTGTCAGTATTTATCTTGATTATAATGATAGCACAGTTGTCATTAAGACTTGTTCAGTCAGATTAATATTTTAAAGACATTCTACATCTATAGAGCCACTTTTTCAGATCTGACAGCCAGTATCAGTTTTGTTTTGGTTTCTTTAAGGGTGCACATTATAGTAACATGACTGTATTAATGGGTCCTCAACTAATTTTTCTGTGTTGCAGGTCTTTTGTTTTAATTTGTCAATGGATAACGCTATATTTGACAAACATTTTAATGACTCTTTATAACATATTGGGAACCTGATGAACTTAATGGAAAGAAACAGTTGATCATGAAAATTTCAGCTGACAGAAAAACATGTGCACCTTTGACTGATTTTGCATAACAGTATTAGCATCATAGTATTAGCATCATGCATCCTAATGTGCTCTGTGCTAGAATAAAATATGAATTTACATGCATGTCACCAGATGTCCGTGCTAGAGGCCTCCTACAGAGCACATTCTAAATAACATTCTGTTACATGGTCAATATTGTATTTGCATTACAGCTCTCAGCACACGATACCTTGATGCTTTCACAGCCTGTTTGCACACCTTTACCACTAAGGTATGTTTTGGAAAATAATTCGAAATGTATATTTTAACAGTGTTTTTCCTTGTGATACAATTCAAATTTCTAGTTGTGTTTCTATCAGTCACTGTGTTTAGCCAGCGGAATAATCTACACATTACCTTTTTGAATACATTTCAGATTTCTGAAATAAAGTCAATGGAGAAGGTCTGCAGACTGTATATTGTACATACAATATATACAGAATAATGTTTTTACTCTTGAAAACACAACAACAATATTGTGTGCCTCTTCTCAATATTAACTGCTTTTCCTACGGGTTTTTCAGTGTCCTGTACCTAATGTCTAATTAAAATAAATGTCTTGGCTGCAATGGAAATGCAAATATGGAGACCCAGAGACAGAACAGACCCACATTAAGTAGTTACCTGCAGTTCTAACTAGATACCTGATGAGATGCCCTTCTCATCAGAAGGGCTACAGATCATGTAAAACCTCATAAATGTCAGATAGGCAGGCCATATTGCAAAGGAAATAATTGCAATAAAAAATTCCAGTGAATTTAGTTTAAATCAATTCTTCTAATAACTACACACTTGTGCAAAGATTATTTATGGTTGTTTCTTTTAAAAGGAAGCAAATCACATTGGCTTAAAATTCTCAGATAAGGGCAGTGCATAGTAAAAAGACCATTCATTACTTTGCATAATAAGTGTTACATAATCCCTCTTCCAAATGAGGCAGCAGTGATACAATAAAAACAAGATCTTCTGCAATTAATATCATATTTCTGAACCACTTTGCTTTTTGACATTTTAATGACCTAAATAAGCGAAATAGAACAAAGTATGTACAAGGAATCATCTAGAAGGTTTTTTTAACAGTATGGTTTAAGAGCAGTCTTGAAAACAACAGGAGGAAAGAAATTGTTAAACTTTCCAGAGGAAATGCCTTGCTTTTGAAAGCAGCACTCTTTGGAAGGTGTAGGACATTTAGTGGGGAACCAAGAATTTAATTTTCCAGTTTCTTAATATGAAACATATTAAGACCTTTGTCAATCTCAACATTTTTCTGAAGCTCAAAACGTCCTTCCAGACTGTTCCCCAAGACGTCCTTACTACTTTCAAAAAATTATTCAGAGAAAAGGGGGCAACATTTTTCAAAACCGCTTTGGAAATTGTTTGAAAGAAAAATGTTTCTTTTACAAATTGCTCACTTCAGTGTAACAATATATGTTTATACCAAATTTCATACCATCTTAAAAGCTGTTTATTGCTGTTTATTTTAAAAAGTCCTACATTCGCTGTAGTTAATGGTCAACAATAACAATGAAACTACCCAGGGGTGTAGCTCTTACGTGGCTTGTCTCTCTCTGTTTATAGTGGGATGACATCCATTAGTTCACCATTGAGTTCTGGACAGTGTCAGTCACTTCTCCTGGCTATAGAGGAGTGCGAACATTACCAGGCTACAGATAATTAGAGTTTAAGCTGTGTGCCCCTGGGCTGAATCCCTGATGACCAAACACTATAAGCTATGCAGAATTTGTCATGTACGTTCCTGGAATTTGTAACCTATTATGTTGGTAGGAATCCTGCTTGTATATGACATGGGTTTTGTGTTCTTTTGAAAGCTTTGAAACAGTCTTGGCTGAGGCCTTCAGAAAGAAAAAAAAAAACAGTAAAGCAACCCTGTCCCACCTTAGTCTTCATTGCCCCCTTCATCCTCTTTCAGGTTTTCTCCAAGCACACAGGTGTCCGCCTGCAAGTGTGGAGGTGTGGGGGTGGGGGTTGGGGAGAGCGAGTGAACCGCAGGCGCTGAGCTCTTTTCCTTCTTCCCCTCCAGCGGCGCGGACTTCAGCACTTTGCTGATGAACCTCGGCCCCGAGAACTGCGCCACCCTGCTGCTGTTCGTCCTGCTGGAGAGCAAGATCCTGCTGCACTCGCTGAGGCCGGCGGTGCTGACGGGGGTGGCCGAAGCGGTGGTGGCTGTGAGTTCTGCCTGCTGTGTTAAAAGCACGGCGCCGCTGCGGCCAGAAGACAGCCGCACGGCTGGCCGGTCCTCGAGACACTGGCTGGATAGACTGCAGCCGGGCCCCTGGCTTCTTTCAAGAAGATCCTCGGCCCCATCTATGGGCTAGATGGGCCGTATGGCCTCCTGTCATTTGTTGTAACCTTTCTTGTTTTTAGCATAATTCACCAGTTACTTCTCTTGCTATCAGTAATCTGTAGCGTCAATGTCAGGAAAGAGAGTATTTTCCCTTGCTGTAGCTTGATGTAAGAGATTTCTTTATTGCCAAGATCGGATTGAACATAGAAAATGCTAATTTTCTGATTATTAAAAATTCAGCTCCAAAACCTCTTTTTTTCCTGCTGTTGAGCCAGGAAATCTGTTGGTTTGGTATTGAACTATGTCCTCCATTCTTTTTTTTTTTTTCCAGATGATTTTCCCTTTCCAGTGGCAGTGCCCCTACATCCCTCTCTGCCCACTCTCTCTGGCAGGAGTCCTTAGTGCCCCCTGCCCCTTCATCATAGGAGTAGATTCCCGATACTTCGACCTGTACGATCCGCCTCCTGATGTCGTCTGTGTAGATCTGGACACCAATACCATCTACCTGTGAGCCTCCAACACTTACGTACTGATAAGGCTTTTGTAATTCCCCTGCAGGTGTTGTATACAGCAGTAATATTCCCAAAGGAATATTTGTTTAGAAAACGTCCAATCTCAAGGAACAATAGGCCATAGAGTTGCATATGGAAAAATGATGTTTAATTGTTATAGTTTTAAGTGGTTGCTTTATGTTTAGTGGCCATATGACCACAGAGTGTGATTGGTACATATGATCACAAATGAGGCCTCTATCTGGCAATTTATTGGTAAACCTGAGAGCGATATCATGCAGAGCTGCCCAACCAGACTGCCTCTGTTCTAACTAATCAGTTCGTCATTCTGAATATATGCTTGGCCTGTTCAGAAAACATGCATGTTATAATGACAAAGAAAGAACTATATTTGCCAAGAAAGCTTTTAATTTAAATAAGGGTGTTTAAATTAAAGGGTGTTTTTCATCTGGGTGCTGCCACAGTCCAGGGACATACTTGTAGGTTAATTGGCTTCTGAGGAGACTGGCCCTTGTGTAAATGTGTGAGTTTGTGTCTGTGTGTCTGTCCTGTGATGGACTGGCATCCCATCAAGGTGTGTCCTGCCTTGTGTTGATTGCTGGTGGCTTAGAGTCCAGATCCATGATTCCCAGACCCCATACTGGATAAGGCAGTTTAGAAAATGGGTGGATGGATTTATTAAACAAATTAAATTTGGTTGATATCTCGCCTTGTAAGATCACATTCTCAACTCAATTTCCAGTTTAAAGTTTAAGTATGTATTTTTAATTGTCCTGTAATATACACATTTCTTATGGAGTTACTTGCTGAGTTGCCTTAATTTCATTGAATCAAAGTTTGATTAGTTTAGTTCTCTTTTTAGTTCTCTTTCTAACCAGAAAGTAAAGGATATCACTATAAACCAACATTCATCATTACATAAGGCGAACAGGCTGTAATAAAGACGTTTGGTATATATAATTCTCTCATTCCTCATTTTGAATCATCAATAGACAAACTCCTTAAGGAAACCTCTGATACAAGATGTGCCGTGTAGATAAGTCTTACCTAAATTCCGTCTTAAGTCATAAATAATTTTGAGAAAGCCCCTTGTCCTGCCCTGTGCTCTTTTCAGGCAGCCCCAGCAGTCAGATTGCTTCCCTGTTGGATCACAGACAGTAGTTTACTACATTACCTTGGATTCGACTGGCATTTGAATTAATTATTTATCAAGTGTGCTCTGCAAATATGACACCTCCGTTCACTGAACTGCAGAACAATTGTTTAGCTTTGCTGCGCTCTCTCTCTCTTCCTTTCTGTGGTAGATCTGATGACAAGAAACATTATAACTGGAAACATCTTCCAAAGAAGCCCAGCAAAAGCCTTCTGAGCTCCCTAAGCAGCCTACATCATCAGCTGGCGTTAGGTACCACTTACTGACTTTCCTTGAGTTCTGTGGGTGTCCTTGTGAGCCTGGAGGACCTATTGTCACCTCAGAGACTTGTGGTGTTTACACCCATGTCTGTCCAGGACTAAATCTGTACATTGACTCCAGCAGCCTTGTTGTAATGAATTCATTTTTAGAGTGTTCTTGTTGAAATAAACATCAAAATAACAAATGATGATGACTATTTATGTTGGCCTGATCTCATTCTGTGGACGATTACAGTAGTAAGTGAGCCTCTAGTCCTCATGTCCCCACTATACACACAGCTATTATGCTATTGAACAAGGTTACTTTGCCTCAGTTCTCCAGTCCACTCTAGTGTATAACCATTGCTAGGTTGGTTATCCCTGAGATGGATTAGCATCCCATTGAGGGCAGAATCACATGCTTTCAGTCTATTACAGACAAGGTATGAAACCGTCATACCCAGACAGGCTGAGGAAGGTAGATCTCTTCAGTCTAGGCCAGAGGAGGTTGAGAGGAGATTCGATCCGAGTGTGCAGACTCCTAAGGAGTGAAGATAGGATCAACCCAGGGGGCTGGTTCACACCCAATAGTGAAACAATGAGACAAGGTTACAATTGGAAACTTAAGAGAAATTAATTTAGGACAGAGATTAGGACACAAAAACAGTTCTTGACTGAAAGAGTAGTGGGTGTCTGGAACCATCTTACTAGCCAGGTGGTTAAGGCCCAGCCTGGGCACCTTTAAGTAACTTAGTGATTTAGTTACTTAACCTGGATGAGCTCTTGCCTGATGTGCCACTGTGCTCTGATATAGACTATGCCTTTACCTCTCATTCTGAATTCTCCATATTACCAGTTTATTGGAAATATCTATTTTTTGTAATATTGTGACACGAAAACGGGAGTCAAACCATCAGTTATCAGGACATAAATTTAATCCATTTAATTTCCTTAAGAAGGGAAATGTGCTTTAAACCCTGAATACTGACTCAGAAATTAATGGACAACCAGGAGTCATCAAGTCACTCCATTAAAAACAAGTTTCCAAAATGTTTTCAGCAAAGCATGAAGCTTGGAAACAAGTTAGGGTGTGTGTACACTAATAGGGATCTTGGTGGGCAGTCCACAGGACTGGGCAGGAGAGCTCGGCGGTGGAGATGACTCCCATTGAGGCGGACTTCACCTGGCACAAGAAGATGACAGGACTGGAGATGGAGATTCAGGAGGCCTTCCTGCGATTCATGGCCTCCATCCTTAAGGGTTACCGGACGTATCTGAAGCCCATCATCCAAGCGCCGTCCGAGAAGGCCACTGCTGCTGACTCTCTGTATGATCTGCAAGGTACTGACACCCGGCAAATATTGACTGCTGCTTTCTGCCAGTGAGTGATGCAAAAAAAAAAGCTGAACAACAGCTTAGGTGACTGTACTGGCAGAGCTTTTAAGAAGCATTAATTGTACTTGACTTGAAAATAGTTAAGCCTGAAGCAGCTTCTAGCTCTATATGCAAGAAACAGTATTTTGAAAGCCATTTTCAGTAATGTATTTGAAGGTTAAACATTCTTGATCACTAGATGTGTTTTGGATAGTGCTGTGTTTGAAGCAGCTGGGACAAGATTCTCAGCTATAACCTTTTACACAAAAACACCCATTTTGTCTCACTTCTTTCAATCAGTGTCAGCCCCCTGCTACCTCTCCAGTGTCGATTGCCAAATTCATATTAGGGGTTTAGAGGTATAATTCATTAAGGGTTTATTATTTGGACTAAAAAATCTGACTAAAATCTTCTCTTATGGTCTGATTGACCACAAGATAGGGTGTGCCACAGGTTTTTCTTATATTTGTATTGGCCTCAGGAAAACCCCCACAGCACATAAATCCTTCCTTGTCCAGCCTTTGAAAGAGACCACCGCATTTAACAGTTGTCAAGATCCACTCCAACATAGGATGACAACATTTATCCAGGAATTGTATCTTTGTTTGTTTGCAATGTATTCTCATCCAAGAATAATAATCGAGCCGCTACAGTGTAAGCTTGCAACACAGGATGTCTGGAGCTCCAAACAGGCGATTTTGTATGTGTTTGTCCTGCATGAGGCACTTTATTCACTTCCTTGCCACTACAATGAAAAGAAAATGGAAAAAAAATTGACTCTCATGTCTGCTGAATAATCAGCATTTGCTTTAATTCCTTTAGCCATGTTATTAATATTGGTGCTCAAAATTTTGGGAACATGAAAACATGGAAAGATGTTATTCATTATAACTATTGCTAACCCTACTTTCACAAAGGATACTCAGTGTCTGTCTCATGTCATTTGCTGTCTTGTGTTCAGAATATACAAAATATACATACAGTATGTATACATAAAATGTCAGTAACACTGTAGTATCGTGATCTGTTTGATTTTTTTCAAGTAATTTATGAAAAGTATGCATCTTTTGATATTCTTAAGTAGTATTCTGTTACTGTTAATACTGTTTTTGTTGCATACCGCAAATAGATGTTTTTGTATTCTCCTGAAAGGTAAGACAGCTGTATTAAAATGTCTTTGTAAAAAGGAAAGTGCTGAAAATCTGAGATCTTTGTTTTTAATGTTGCTCTGTATGAGCTACTAAGATGGTGAGAATTATATCAATGTTCCACCTGTTAAGCTTGGAGCTTAATATATATCCCATTCTGGCATGATTTGATTAGTAATGTATTTCTTTTGTCTAATGTGACTGGAGATTTATTATTGTGCTCCTGCCAAATGCTAGACTAGACAATTTGTTTAAAGTGTATAAATGGGAGAAGAATCTCTATAAGAAGAGAAGTTGGTTATAACAGAGTAGGTAATAAAAATTAAAGATGTGAGTAAGCATTGAGCTCTTTTGACTTCCTTGTGTGTGCCATAGTTCTTCTCTGACAGATGTCCAGTCCTTTTTACCTACACGTGGTAGATACTGTAAGTGGTAACCAAATCAGTTGGTATAGTGCAGGTTACTGACAGCTATGACTGGTTCTTTTGAAGGTTTCCTGAAAAGCCGAGATCGAGCCCACCAGAAGTTCTACTCCCAGCTGACTAAAACACAAATTTTCATTCGGTTCATCGAGGAGTGCACCTTCGTCAGTGACAAAGACACTGGCTTGGCGTTTTTTGACGAGTGCATTGAAAAGGTGAGGCACCCAGCTCTGAAATGTCAGTCTTTCACATAAATCCCTATTGGGGTTTCTGTGAAGTTGAATTAGCTCAGGGTTTCAGTTTGTGTTCTTCCGGTCCTCCTTAAGTAGTTTCTTCTTTGTCAAGCATTCTTGAGAAAGAGCTTAAAGGAATCAACCCAAAGTCAACACAGAGCTTTAAGAGGATTCACTGTCAGTTTCACGTTTTCATTCACTCTTTAACTTTTTATTTAACAATGAAAGAATTTACAAATACAACATATACAGAGTAAAGTAATTTACTGCTTTCATCTTTCGTTTCTTGATTATATTATGTTTTTTATATAACCATTTACATTATGTGAGCATACATGGGAGGTTACAAAAGACTGCTTCATCCTCTTTCACAGCACAAAATCAGTTCTTAATGGACCTCATAACCAAATCCAGGCTTGCTAGTATTTGCTAAACCTTTCAGCTTGTAACCTAAGAGAATGAATGATCTTTTCCATTCTATAAATTTCCAACATTGATCCACGGTACTGCTTGGGGGATCTTTAGTAAACCATTTTCTTGTGATAGTTTGTTTACTGGTAGCTATAGGAATTCCTAGTGTATATCTATCCTTCAGTTCCATGTAGTCAAAAGTAAAACTACCCAAATACATAACGGAGAATTCAAATGTTATGTCTAGATTTCTCATTCGCTCTTTCACGCTGACCATTAGATTTTCTGCACTAGTGGCTAAGAATTTTTAATCCTGAAATGTATTGACATCCAACACAATATTTGTCCTCTTATGGTCTGTTGCTATATGTGACATTTCTTCTTCGTTCTTGGGTTGTGTGACAGGTAATAGTGTAGTATTTGTAATCTAAGAATGGAATAACAAGGACCTAGTAGTGGCATAAAAGTCTCACATGGTGTCAGAGAATTTTGTATTTTTAAAGAAAGATGTATGTTGTTTCTAAAGTGTTTTTTTATATTCAGAATAATTTTAATTCTCTTAAAAAGTCTGAGTAAGAAACCCTTATGTGTAAGAAACTGTTCTCACAAATGCTCTCCTTTAAAAGTTGTTTTTTTTTTTTCATTCCAGCTTTTTCCCTCAGATAAAGGGACTGACAAAGGTGCAAAGGTAGGATTTTAGTTTTCTCATACCTGGAAGAAATGCAGCCCCCAAGATTTGTCTATAACACTAAGAACAGGTGGTTTGAACCTAATATTAACAAACAAATCCAGATTTAATAGGCAATAACACCTTTATAACACCTTTTTGACACCTAAAATTGCGTAAAGGACACCTATTTTTCATGTGATGTCAAGTGATTAAACTATATTAAGAAGCTGTGCAATAGCTAATTAGAGGTTTCTTTTAAGGCTTTGAGTTTCTGTTGTGTACATAAATAAAGTATTCAACAATTTTAAAATTTATGACTGCTCAGAAATGCATTTTTAAACATCGAATATCATCTGAAGGTAGTCTGATTCATTTAGTGATTGTTCGTGCTGAATACTTTCAGTTTTTAAAATCTGACAGACACTATATATAATCCAATAATACACAACAAATGGATGAATCGCTGTCATTATGTTTTACATTTTTTGACGTGCCCTGCTATCCTGGGCCACAGAGAGTGCTAGATTTAAACCAGGACCCTGTGATTGGCAGTGCCAGCGTCCATCTTTTGTCTCTTTGAGTTTCTTAATATTGTTTTAAGGTTTAAGGAAAACTTGCATTTAGACAGTGTGAAAGTCCCAATGTGCAAATGTAATGTACTTGTTGATGGGACATCTAAGTGTCTTGTAAAATAAGCTCTTTCCTGATGTGGAAAATGCTTCGGCAGGCATGTCGTGCCATGACGTGGGCAGGGCTGACGGTCATGTTGTAATGTGGACAAGGCTGGCTGGTCATAAGGTGATGCAGAAGGGGATTACGTGATGTGACGTAGCCAGGGGCAGGCGTATCGTATCGTATCGTGTCGTGCCGTGCCTTGAGCAGGGTTGGCGTGATGTGATGTGAGCAGGGCTGGCATGTCATGTCGTGACGCAAATAGGCAGGCTGGTCGTAATGTGATGTGGCCAGGGCTGTCATGATGTGGATGAGGCTGAGGCCATGTCGCTTTGCAGGTGGAAGTCGAATCCTCAGAGGACACCAGGCTGATAGAGCTGGATGAGTCGCAGAAAAGCGAGCACACAGTCTTTGTCATGCCACCCGAGCCTGCAGCAGAGGATGGCCCTGATCCACCTGCCAAGTACAGGTAATCAGCCTCTGGGCTGTGTTTCTGGAACAAGGTCCCCTTGACACAATAGGACCTCAAAAGCATCTTCACATAATTATATGTATGCATATATTGAGATGTTTGTGCTGCATTTGATAGAAAATCTAAATCCATTAGCTGCTGAAAATACTCAGAAACAAAGTACAAAAGCAATTTCAATTGGTCCATTCAAGACTCTGTTCTGTTTATCAAAGGATGGGATCCAAGTCTTTCACTGTTCTTGAGTTGTGATCAGTTGAGCAGCCCTGGTTTTCAAGTTATTGTAGTCTTCGTAATTTGGAACAAGGCCCAGCGTTGTGGGTGACGTCTCCTGCCATTTTTTCATAAATGCACCAATTTGCTTTTACCTTGACTCTTATCGCTTAATCACTTTTATGCTTTCCTGGAAGAAGACTATATTTGGCTCATGCTTTCACTCCACTCCTATTTAGAAAACACTGTTAGCTACAACTTGGAAGACTGCCCTTCATAATGGTGGTGGAATCGGTTTTCCTTTCGCTAAGCACTGGAAAAGCCACTTATGCTTCTGAAAATGACTTGTGCCACAGTACAGATAGGCACATTGTTTTATGGGCCTTTTGCTTCACAGTCCATTTATCAATTTTATGCTTGTTATTTAAAGTATGCTTCTTATTCTGGTTTGGCACCCTGACAGACACTCTACTGAGTGTTTTGTTGAAAAGATTAGAACCGTGGTTCTTAACCTTTACTGCACCTGGCACCCCTATGGTTCTCAAAATATGTTATCGCAACCCTTATCAAAAACCATTGAATTTGCGTTTTTGACAATTTATCTTCTAAAAAAACTCTGGCATGGACTCTCATCCTACGAAAGAGCATCTTGGACCCCAGGTTAAGAACCACTGGAGTAGAAAGGTTCTGCATAGCCTGAAGTGAAGTGCATATGTTTTCTTGACAGTTTGTTTCCATAACTGTAATGCATTATAAGGAGCATGGAGTGGCATCCTCATTCAGGGTGAAGTCAGTTAGGCTTTGGGTTGCTGCAAACCTTGCCAGGAGAAAGTGGATTTCTGGTAATAGATTAAGACTGTCCTGACTCTGAAAATGTATTTTTAAAAGCCTGCCAATAGCCTTGTTAAATAATAATGCTGCGTGACTGAAGAAGTCAATAGTTTAAAAAGACAATGCTTCATAGTTTTTTGTGCTTTGAACATCATTTTGGTGGATCTGTGGAATGATGTGAGTATAGTTGAATTATACTTCTCAGACTGGAAATTTCCTGACACTTCAAGCATTTAGTATAGGATTTTCCATACCAGCATGAACAAACGTACTCAATAGGACGTGTGTGAATATATAAATGATCTCTCACATTATTAGTAATATAGGAGGTGTTATCAATGGACTGTTCCATTTTTTAAACAAACTGACGAAACAAGGTAGAGGAACATTTACGCTCTAGGATAATGCTACATTAGAAGAATGTAAAGAAACTTAAGTGCGTCTTTAATCTGGTTTTAGCTATAAGAATTTCCCTCGGCTGAAGCTGGAGCTCTTTGACCAACCCCAAGAGCTGAAACCCTCCCTGAATAGAAGGGCAGCCAGTGGCAGTGTATCCAACAGTCCTGCTCTCTTGGCCAGGAGGACTAAGCAGGTGAGTCCCAGGCTGTTACATGTGATGCTAGGCCCACTTCAGTGGGCTCAAATTCTGTGCCAACAGACCTTTCCAGTGTGAGCTCTGTAAGTGGGACACACAGATTGTCCGAGGGTACAATTATTGTTTTCCTGTTCTTAACACATACTGGAGCAATTAGCAGTCTTACAGGGAGCCAAATTTTTTGGGAGGTGTTTGAATGAAATTATCAATATTCTGTCCTTCAAAATGTAGCTGCTCTGCACTGTTCACTAGCATAGCTTTGTAGCTAATGATACATTTTACAAGGATTAAAACACAAAAAGGATACAGCATTTTCAGTCTGAGGAAAGCTCAGCTACTGTATATGGATATGGTGTTTGCAATTTCTGTGACAAGAGAGTGATGAGTTTTTAATGACTAACACCTAAGTTGTTCTTTCATTTGTGCATTTACATTCTTATATACTCAGTCTCTGAAATATTCTGATGTCAAATTCGCCAAAGTGTTGTGAAAAGGGGCCAGTACAGCATGATGAAAAATTCTCATGTAGTAACACAAGTTTTGTTATGAATGTGTTACCAGTATACTGCTGACGAAGGGTGGGAATAATACATTGGCACTTAACTTAAGGGAGATAGTGATTAAATTATCATGTTTATTTTACAGTCAAATGAATTTGTGATTCATTTTTGGTAATGTTTAACATATGTTATTGAGTATTATATTATTATTTTAACAAGGATTAGGAACTCTGGTCCTGCAGTAAAAGAAATGTTTCAATTTTGTTGATTTTATTTCTGTACCTCAAAGATAATCAATGTTATTCCACTGAAGCTGTGAAGTATTAAACTAAATTTTACCCAACTTTAGAATTTGCTATATTTTAAGGATTTAAGATTTTTTAGGTTTTCATTTAATTAATTTCAGAATGTTTGGACATCTGTTTCTGTATTTCAGTTGGAGTTATTACAATGTGTAAATAAGGCAATATAAATTCTGATTTTATGTGTGTTGATTTCAGGCTTTTAGGCCAAAATAAAATATTAATTTGGAAAAGGTGTGTAGACTTTCTATAGGCACTGTATATGAAAGGATTTCAATGGGATTTTCTCAAAAATTAGAGAATTATATTTACTTCCAAAATAAAGCATCTTCATGGGACATTGAGCCAACACAACAGCTTCAGTGTGTCTTGGCGGAGATTCTACAAGTGTCTGGAACTCTATTGGACACCATGCTTCCGACAGAAATTCCAACATCTGGTGTTGATGGTGGTGGAAAACACTGTTTCAGGCTCCACTCCAGAACCTCCCATGAGTGTTCAGTTGGGTTGAGATCTTGTAACTGGGAAAGCATCAATGGTTTGATGAGCACTGTTTTCATGCCCATCAAACCATTCTGTGAGCATGTGTCCCCAGTGGATGGGGGCATTGTCATCCTGGATGATTCCATTCCCAGAACATTCCACTCAGAACATCATCACTCAGAATGGATTTGTATGTATTTTGGCATTTACCTTGCTCTCTAAGGGGTTTAGCAGATCTAAACCATGCCAGGAAAATGCACACTGGGCCACAAAAGGGCAACGAGAAAGCTTTACTATGAGAAACAAGCACTTGAGCGTGTAGGATGAGTACATGTATGCCTCACATGTACTCATCCACTTATTGAGAATAGGGTGAAGAATGACTCACCTGTCTGTATGATTTTTTTCTACTGCTCAGTAGACCACTGCCTGTGTTCTTTGCATCACTTTACTCTCAAAAGTGTAAAAAAGGGTGTTAATGCACCTCCACCTGACCACAGTACTGATCTCTGTGAAATTCTCGATTGACTGTATTTGGTGAAACTGCCAGCTCAGAGTTGCTTGTCTGTTTTGACTTGCATCTTGCACAAATGCACTGATATCACAGTCAAGGAATATGCACTTTTGTCCACATTTGCCCTAGCTGAAGATGTCTTTCCCTCAGACTTGTATGCCAGCATCACCTTAGCCACTGTTCCTTGTGAAACATCAGCACGCTGAGCAGTCTTCATCACTGAAGCTCCAGTCAGACGTGACCGAACAATCGCCCCCTCTCACTGTCACTGAGATCTCTTCTTCTAGCCATGGTAGCCAAATTAATGGGCAAGTGGGTCTGCCCAGCATTCTATACATGGCCCTAAGCATGATGGGATGTTAGTTATTTAATTAACTCAGGAACCACACCTGTGTGGAAGCACCTTCTTTCACTTTTCTAATTTACTGAAGTGTTCCCTTTATTTTTGGCAGTTATGTATATATTCTTATAAACAAAATTCAACACATCTCTTGTGTTGAAGACCGGCCTTCCGTCTTCAAGATCATTCCACAGGCCAGGCTTTAATCAGGATGAACCGGGGAGAGATAGGTGGAGACCTGGAATAGGTTGAAGGGGTTTTGAAACATTCTCGGGGGGGGTCTACTTTACAAATGGGACCTCCAGGTGGAAGAGCTCACTGAGCTACATGTGAGTGTGGCCAGAGAGCAGAGAGCGCTCAGCTGTGTGCTGAGGGGGAGGGGGGCAGGATGCTGAAGAGCTGTTTGTGGGTGTGAAGGCCGTCCTCAGAACAATGCGCCATGTGGTCCAGAACAGTGTTTACTGTTGGGCTGTATTATTTTTAGAAGGCCTTTGTTTCAAACCCGACTGTGGAAGTAAACTGGCTTACAAATTCCATTCTATTTGTGCTACACATCCCTCTGGAAATATCTGGAAAACCAATAATGGGCAGAACGTCCCAAGACAGAAACCTTTTTTCATCATTAATAAAAATCGAGTCTATTAATATTCCAGTATCTTTCAAGAAGTAGTGAAATGTTTAATAAATCCTGCAGAACCAAGAGTGTTATTGTCCTTAGCGGTCTGTGTTCTTCTATGTACTGTATATGTATAAAATTTTAATTGAATGTAACTCGAGGGGGTAAAAGAAGCCTTCAACCAAAGGATTAATTGTATATGTAAATATACATTAGTATATTCTTATGTTTGTCATGTTTACCAAATTAGGACACCTTTCTTAAATAATAAAGTGTCATTATCCTGTGTTCCTGTGATGATGATCTTCCCACCTTCATTATTTACATGGTTGTATTTAACTGTGAGAAATTGTACACATCACATGTAATGTGGCTACACATTTATGTGGCTTTGATTTTTGCTAGTGCTATTTTGCCTTGTTTCAAAAAGCAGCAAATGTTTCTTGATGTTTTCGTCTCTGACAGAGTGGCTTTCTTTTGAAATGACTTGCTTATTGCAGGGGCACGCCCCTGAGTGGAGAAGCTGCAAGGTAGCGAGAGTAAGACTCTCGTTGACATCCACTTCACTGGCTGAGGCACACCTTGCTGACTTTGAACTTTTTATGCTGTTGCAGGAGATAAAATCTGCCTACAAGATGGCCAAGCGGTTTTATTCCAACCCTCCGCTGTGGGCAAAGTGCCTGTTCAGTCACTGCTACAGCCTGTGGTTCATCTGCTTGCCAGCCCACGTGAGAGTCTCCCACTCCAAGTTCAGCGCCATGCAGCAGGCCTACGACGTCCTCATCAAGATGAGGAGCACCGAGGTGGAGGTTCTTGACGAGGTGAGCTCCTGTTTTTATGTTTTTTCTGCCTCCAGGCACTTTGCTATAATGACCTCTGTCACATCTTTGGCCATGTTTGCCTGGGCAGCAGAATTTATTTATAGCTGTAATTTGTTCATGCTCAAAAGGTGCAGAATGAGCAATAAGAAAACACTTTTTACGGAATTAGCTTTGATTTTGCTATGTCTTGTGGACGACCTAGTTCTCTCCAGTAATGCTTGGAGAGGGCTGGATGATGGCAACATTGGCTTGAAATATGCAGAATCTTTGAGCTCCTCTGTGTAGACAGAGTTACATCTTTTAGGAGGACAGATGTAAGAGTGCAGGTCCAGATAATGTGTGTGACGCAGTTCTTAAAACTTGTGCAGATCAGCTTCAGTATGTGATGTTTTTAGTCTTCTTTTTCTGATGTCTTTAAATTCACAAATCATCCCCTCTCTGTGGAGGACAGCTAATGTTATCTCCACTGAAAAAAACAGCCATGTCAAGTGAGCTTAACTACTGTATAGGCCAGTGGGTCTCGGTACTCTACTTACGAACAGCAACACACTATAAAGGACACACAGGACGTCATTCATCCCCAACAGTCAGCATATAGGAAAAGGAAAGTAGACATTGCACCTCGTTAAACATGGTTTATTGACATCCTGAACAAACGGTGTCATTTGTTAGAATTATATTTGTTTTTTTCTTCTGCTTTCTTCTGCTTTTAACATGATTCAACCTCTCTTACATTGGCACAGAAGCCCTCAACGAATTTCAAATGGTAACCTGATAAGCCAGGTTATAGACTTTTTAATGAACAGATTTCAACAGGTAAAATGGGTGAGATGGTTATTTGTAGTACTTCTATTGGATCACCATATGGTTGTGTCTTGTCCTCTTTATTGTACAGTTCGTACGCTAATGATTTTAAGAACAAACAAACCGATCATCTTATATCCATACCACCGGAATACCATCCTGAGCCCATTCTGAATAATTGTGTTGAATGGCATGATGAGTTCTCTTTGGAGTTAAATGTTTTGAAAACAAACTCATCCTTGATTTTAGGATGAATGTAGTCCCTTCCCTACCCGGTGTAATAAATTATCAGATTATAGAGGTTATGGATGCTTACAAGTATTTGGGACTAGACATAAATACAAAATTTCAGATGGGGTGATTGTTGGGAGACCATTTATAAAAGAGGGCAACTGAGATTTTTTGTTAGGAAGCTTAGTTTCTTTAAGGTGGACAGAACTATCTAAACACTTCTGTAGATCATGTATTGAAAGTCTTAACATACTGTTTTACGTTTTGGTTTGCTAATTTCAGTACTCCAAATCATAAAAGGCTGGGCAAAAGAATGATAATAAGTAGCAAAATCACTGGTTTAAGTTAGATCAACCTACAGTATATTCTCTCTATAAACATAATGTTCTAGTGAAGGCTAACTGCATTATGGCACCCCCCCTCCACTGTGAATCTGCATGACTCCCAGCTGGGAGACGTCTCTGTGCCCCAGGGTTCAAAGGAAATAGACTTAGGAAATCATTCATCCCCTCTGCAATTGTACTCTTAAATAATTCATTTCCTGAGATAGTTTGTTCTGAACTTTTGATTTGTTTTGTTGTATTGTTGTGTTGAGCTCTGCTGAAAAAAAAATCCTAGGGGATAATGAAGCTTGAATCAAATTAGCATATTTAAGTTGTTTTCAAGTCTTAATAAACAACTCACATATTCTGGTCAACACTGCACTTTTAAGGCTACTTGTAACTCCTGCCTTCTTTGATTTCATCAAGGGATGTTTTTTAAATAATGTGCAGTGCACTAGTAAGATCCCATTTATAATAATTTGTACAATTGAGGTCTCCATGTTATAAAAAAAAAGGACATTTCTACTCTGGAATCCATCCAGGGAAGAGCAGTCAGATATGTTCCAGGACTTAAGGGAATGTCCTGCACCTGCCCTGCAGGCTGGAGGAATTGAATGTTTTTAGACTTGGAACAGAGAAGATTACAAGCCTTATCGTCAAAGGCATTGACGGAGCCTACCCAGTGAATCTCTTCAGAATAAACAGTGAAAGATAAACTAGAGGACACAAATGGGAACTATGTGCAAGTCCATTTAAAACTGAGAATATGAGTTACATCTTTGCACAACGGGTGGTGAGAGTACAGAACAAGCTACCCACCCGCTGCGTCGAACTGATACACCCTGGCTTTCAAGTGCAACGGCTGGGTGAGCTCATCGGATCAGTCAGCTGCTGACCGCTCAATGGGCCTCCTCTCATTTGAAACCGTTCCTTTGTGCTGGCAGGTGTGCTACCGGGTGGTGATGCAGCTGTGCGGCATCTGGAACCTGCCTGTCCTGGCAGTACGACTTCACTTCGAGATGAAGAATGCTGGAGTGCAGCCCAACGCCATCACCTACGGCTACTACAACAAGGTACTGCTTACACTCTGCACAGCCGCTAGGATGTCATGGGATTCCCTAAATGAGGGCAGCAATGTGATCTGCAGGCAAAGTCTGAAATTCCAGTATTACTCTAGAATGCACAGAAAATTACAGATGTGTTTTACATATTAGAGATAGCTATGTGCAGTGTAGTGCTAGAGCACTCCCATTTTTTCATTCGAATACTGTAGTGATTAACTGCACATGTAACAGGGCAGTAATAGTAATTTTTGCAGGTGTCATCTATCAAATCTGGAGAAGGATACAACACTGTGTTTGGCAAACATTTGCCAAGTGTGGGAGGAGCTGTGAAACACTCTTTTTTCAGAAAGTGGTCCCTTTTGGACTGGGCATAGAGGTGTTGTGAACTTAGCCCATTTGCTTATCTTCTGCATGTGGGTGTTTGCCCCGACAGCTCTCGGTTTGGAAACACACCTGTGCGTCCTGGAACCACACAAGGCACTGGGGGTAACATGAGCGAGAAAAATGTTTTGTTGTGCACGAAAGGTGGCTAGGTCAGGCGGAAACCGATGTCCACATGCCATAGATTCAATTGCTGTTCTTGGTCTGATAGATTGGACTTCCCGGCACAGAATCTGTATGAGGCAGAGACATGAAAAACACTACTGGCTATTGCAGATCTGGGTGCTGGAACAAAAATAATTGAAATTCTTAAAAGAAAAAATAATCTGTATGAGTGAGCCCAAGGCCATAAGCTTACTGGAATGATTGTGTAGGGGTCAGTTCAAACAGATTTGTGCTGACACCAATGACTGGTACTGTATACCAGCAGGGAAGAATGAGAGATTCTGTATTGAAAGCCCAGCCTAATGTACAAGGTATTAGAATGGGTTCTTTAAAAACTGAAGCCTGAAACTTATTTATAAAACCCTTTTCATTTTACAGTTTGACTGAATGTTTAACACATTTACTGCATCAAATCCTTTTCCAGGCTCTGTAGAATCAGATCTGTGTAAGTCACATGTGTTAGTTCATTAATGGCAAATGTCACAAAAATCTTTTTGACACAGGCATTTTTTGCTCACTACTTTGAGGCTGTGCTTGCCAAAGGAAAAATCCACCTTGCCAAATAATATTCCATTCTTCAGTAAATATTTTCAAGTATTTTTGGCATTGTTCAGTTTGCTTTTGATCTGTCCAGATACAGTCGCTTTGTGTCTCTTTAAGAAGGGTTCAGGACTTTCTCCTGTGCTCCTCTGTCTCTGCAGGCTGTTCTGGAGAGTAAATGGCCCGACCACAACAGGGGCAGCAACTTCATGTGGACTAAGCTGCGCAACGTGTTGCGGGGAATGGCCCAGTTCAAACAGGCTCTCCGCAGGACAGCTCAGTCCAGGGTCACTGCAGGTAACCGTCACCATCGACAGTGGTGGACAGTCGGGATGTCTTCTTGATAATCAGTATTTCACCGAGGCTGACCTTACGTGAGAGCATGTGGATGGCTTGTACGATGCCTTTAAAATCATTGGTGTACACAGCTGTGCGCTGAGATCAGTAGGTTTATCTCCTGTTTCGATCGGTTGATAAAGGTACGAGATTCAGGCAGTGGAGGAAAAGTCTGCCCGATTGCCAAGCTTTCAAGCTCTTTGCTCCAGCAGTAGTTCCTGAAGCTGCAGTGCCATCTAGTGGCTCTTGTTAGAAACAAGCACTATTGAATTTTAGCAAATGCGCCTCAATGTTTTGTTAAATAGTATGTGGAAAGATAAAAAGATACAGTATTTACCGTGTGCAAAAAGGTTGAGTGTTCTGTTTTTTTTCCACATTTTATATATGATACATTGTGGTTGTTCAAATATGTTCCCATACAGAATTATAGATCCTGCCTCTTTATAATGACAGAAAATATATTGGCTCCATATGAAGTTCAAAGCTTCAGTTTATATTTTCGGGTTCAAGACAGATCAGATCTGTTTTAAAATGCTTTATGCTTTCAGTTTTTAAGGAAAAGCTTAGATAGTCAACGTACAGCTACATGTGTCATGTCATTTGCCAAACCGCTTTATACCATACGGTGTCGCGGGAAGCCGGAGCCTAGCTGGCAAGGCGCAGGGTACACCCTGGACAGGGCGCCAGTCCATCACAGGGCAGGTGCAAGCCAGTCATACATGGGCACAATTTTGAGGCAGAGTGGGGGAAATTTGGCCCGGACACTGGGATAACTCCTTAATCTTATCGAGAAATGCCCAGGGATCTTTAATGACCACTGAGAGTCAGGACCTCGGTTTAATGTCGCATCCGAAAGATGGCGCCCACAACAGTATAGTGTCTCCACTGCTATACCAGGGCATTAGGACCCACACAGACCGCAGGGAGGGCACCCCCCGCTGGTCCCTCCAACACCTCTTCCAGCAGCAACCATAGCTTCCCAGGAGGTCTCCCATCCAGGTACTGACCAGGCTCACACCTGCTTAGCTTCAGCAGGCTGCCATTTGAGAGCTGCAGGGTGAATATAGTTGCTGGCATATCCAGTTATACATAATTACAAACGTAATCCTTTATATTATCTGCTTGAACTGTTAAAATGTTTAAACAAAGGAGGTTTGACTTATTTTTGGTTTGTATCCCTTAAAAGGCATTATGAATTCTTTGTAGCTCTGGATCACTCTCAAATGTTTCACGAAGCCTTACTTGTTTGAAAGATATTTTCACGCAGGTTTTTGTAGGCATCTAAAAGAGGAATGAACTTTGATGGGGCAGCTGTAGCAGGTCGGCTTTCTGAAAGCATCTGGTGTGCAAACAAACTCCCCTGTGAGATGTGGTCTGTGAGGGTTAGAGCAGCTTGTGGGACTGCGTCCTGACTTGAATACCGCGCTGGACGAGGGGAGCTGGAGGGAGGACGAGGAGGGCCGTGGTTTGAGGCGCCTGTTTCTCTGCAGCCGCGGCGAGTCCTGGCGGCGCGAGTGACGGGGACAGGATCAGCCACGGCAGTGAGGACAGCTCCAACGACGCCAACGGCGGGGAGCACACCCTGTTCGCCAGGAGCCTTGTCGTCGGGCACGAGATGGACAATCACTGCAGCGCAGGTACGGCACGCGCGCGGTCACGGCATCCTGGCCGGCGCGTGGGCACGCGCTTGAGGCCTCCCTTGGAGGTGTGGGATGAGGCTCGTACAGGGCAGAACAGGTCGGCACCTTCTGTCCAGCGGCCAGGGCTCTCCGAGCTTTCATTTCAAGGCATGTGTAGTCCTGGTGCCACGCCCATACAGTACAGCGTGACTGGACAGATGACAGTCTAGTATTCTGCACCCAAACTCCCATCACCTCATTTTACTGCTGTTCTCTTCTCAGCCTTTCTGCTTTTCTCCTGTATTTTGGTTAAAAACGGCTCACATTCGCACTTAAAGCTACACATTTTCATATACACTAAACACAGTATATAATTTCCTGTATCATGCAGGGGATTTTGTGTAATGTTATACGTTTACCACACCTGAAGAAGGCTCCACGGCCGAAACGTTGTGTTCTCTTTCTTCTTTTTTTCAGCATGGAATAAACCTATTACTTGTTCCTTTGCAGCCTACGCATGCTGACGCAGCTACCCACCTGAACTACTACCGCCATGTTATACGTTTGCCTCCTAGAGTTGGATAATACCTGACTTCAGTTTACTTGTTTCATTGTAGTCTGCTGTGTCTGCTGTGTTTTTATAAATTCCTGTAATCCTTTATTCATTCAAAATTTTGCTGACATTGAAATGGGTATGACAGGGTTAGAATGGATAGCAAAGGGTTCAGTCAGTATGCAGTGCTTCGACCTGTCCCTCTCCTTCAATCTGCCACTGATCTTTGTCTTTTTCTGTCCGCCTCTCCTCAAAAAACTAAAGTGTCCCTCTCTCGGCTTTTGTGTCCCTGCTTCTGCTCCCTGTGCTGTCTCTCAGTGCTACATGTGTCCTTGGCTTTGGCAAAGACATGTGTGAGATGAAGCTTTGGAAGGGAGTGGGTGTTGTGTTCCTCTTTAAAAGTGGAAATGCTTCAGGTAATAGTTCCTCTACAGCCATTTCTTTTTCATGAGCAGAATTCATACTCAGGGCCCCAGGTGCTTTTACACATAGCAGGTTAACATTAGCAACAAGTGAGCCCAAGTTACTCTCAGAAGTAGTTGATCTCACACCTTTGATACATTTTTTTCTTGTCTGTATTCTTTTAGTCCTGTAATGTGAAGCATAAACACTTGGTTACCCAGATACACTACTAGTTTTTCCCTGGCTTTTTTGTATATTTATTGTCATGGTGCAAAAATAGCACTACTGATGGAGCAGTGGGCTCTCATTGATTTCTGGGCATTGTTGAACTTTCACTATAGTATCTGCTTATGTTGCACTGTTGTGTGTATCTTTTATATGTGTTTATATAAATGACAATTGTCATGTAAAATACTGTGTTTTAATGGCTGCAATAAATCTCTTTGACTGCTGATAAAAATAAATACAAATGGTTTGAAATATATTGTGCAGCTACACTTACTGTAGGTCAGGATACTATATAATTTCCATATACTGTATTATGATGTTCTGAATTGCCCCCATCCCACCCTTTTCTAAAGACAATTAACATCTGTATGCTTTGTTTTATTACTTTGGTCAACATTATCCTGACAACATTCAGAACACCAGATGCCAGTAAGCTTGTGTGTCTCCGCTGTCCCTCATGAGATGCTTTGTATGTGCAGAATGGTTTTGTGCAAGCCATCAGGGTTTACATTTCTGAAGACTCGTGCAGCTCTGAGCACGCCAGGAAGCCGGTGCTTTGCTGACCATTTCCTCCTGTGATACAGGTGGTCAGTCGGACCAGGGTTACGGGTCGAAGGACGAACTGAGACCAGAAGTCTCAGTCCCGACGACTGCTCCTCTCCCAGATGCTGACCAGCCTAGCATAACCAAAGCGAAACAAAACGGTAATGTGTTCAGTTCTCCTATTTAACTGTGAATGTGTTTCTTCAGTCAAGCAGCTGTTTGTGACCGTGAGTGTCACCAGAATCTGTTGGCTTTCTGCTGTGTAGAAGGGCTCTTCAATTCTACTTATTGAGCCATAGAAGATTTCACTGGAAGCCTTGATTACAAGATTGAAGTTTGAATTAACTAGAAAACTTGTAAACTGAGCATCAGAAGGGAAAATTTGTAAATTAAAATCCAATCAAAAGGCACTCGCCCAAGTATTACTACAACTTCTCAAAATAATGTTTTAAGAGGGCAAGAGGAACAAGTGGGGGGCAGATCTGGTAAAGAGGAAATGCCCACATTGACTGCACCAGTGTGATTCGAGTTCTGTTGTACTGCTTTGTGTTTTCAGAAACTTTCACTGTTTTCCAACCCTAAAGAGAGACTGTCTACAGCAACATTCTCTTCCTTCCGAGTGTGAGAGTGTAAATGCTGTAGTTCAGTGGTTCTCAAACTTTTTGGACCAAGTACCACCCCTAATCCAACCAAAGTATCCAAGTACCACCTACAAGTCATCATCTCATAGGAACCCCAGAAATTCTCAATGACCAACATGAGCGTGCGTGCACACACTCATACATACATATAATAAATATTATAATAATAAACTTAATTTGACATAGTGCCTTTAAAGGTGGCTTCTCAAAGTGTTTTACAGAAAAAAAACATTAACAAAAACTCATAAAAAAGCACCATTTCAGTGAGAGGGGTGAGCCTGTTTAGTTGAGCAAAGCAGATGTGAATTAATTTTTTGAGCCTTGATACAATTCACAACAGAGTCTAACATATATTAAATCGTCAGGCATTTTCTTGATGGCAAAGGTCTCGCGGTGAATGTTGTAAGGCGTACATTAATTTCTGGAGCAACCTCTCTAATTCGTACAACTACACTGTTATGTCGGCTTGTCATTGCTCGACCACCGTCTGTACAAACTCCCACACATTTTATCCAGTCGATGCCATTCTCTTTGATAAATTCATTCAGAAGCTGAAATATGTGCTCTCCTGTAGTTCCTGTTGGTAGCGGTTTAAAGAACAGAAAGTCCTCATGGGACATGCCCTCAAACTCGTATCTAACGTAAACGAGCAAATTGGCCAAATCGACTACAGACTCATCTAATTGCAGTGAAAAACATCTGCTCATCTTAACGCACTCTGTCAGTGTACTTTTTATATAATCCTTCATTTCAATAATTCTATGAATGACTGTATCTCTCAGGGGGAGGGGGGCAGCAGGTCGAGATGTTTAGCAGCTTTTTCTCTACACATAATACGTGTCAGCTCTTTTGCCAACGGTAAATAAGGTTCTTCAAAAATAGTATAGCTTACCTGCTTTAGCAATCCGCAAGCTTGCATTTTTCGCGTTTCCGTTATTTCCGTATTTATTTAAAGTTTTTATTTCATGCGCTTGGGAGCGAAACACATGGATGCTCGGTGTATTTTTCTCAAATTAGAACAGTTCTTAAATATTTTTCTGTTATCACGCTTTTGTGTGCTCACAAGATTAACTGCGTTCGTAGCATGTATTTCTATGCATTCCTGTGTTTAAAACGTTGGCATTGTTCCAAAATCAAGCACATTCTCCTTTCTATTTGCTGGAGATACAGTAGCTTTTTATTAAGCTTTTTTTTTGGTCACTTGCATCCGTAGCACGCATTCCTATAGAGTGGTATAGAATTACAGAGTATCTCTTGTGTCCACTGAAGTATTAGCGTGCAGTGTATCGTAGTACGTAGGCTGCGTATTCGACACGTATTAAAATACAAAATATGAAAACCCTTCCCGATTTTTCAACGCCCATGACACCGTTCCATGGTCATTTGACGTACCACCTGGCGGCACTCCACGTACCACTGCCGGTACGCGTACCACAGTTTGAGAGCCACTGCTCTAGTTAATAAGAGTTCTGTCTGTTTACAGGTGAGGACGTTGCTGATTCCCAGATCCCCTCAGCGGCCACAGCCAGTCCCCCAAGCCCTGTGGATCTGCCGACCTCGGGCCACAGTATCGTGAAGCTGTCAACTGGGAGCCTGGACAGCAGTGCCGGCAGAGGGAGCACTGGTGTGTGAGAGCTGTGTCCGTCATGCTAGAGCAGCATCTTAATTAGGAAACACACTGACTTTGTGCATCAGTAGGACTCGTTGGGCAGTGACTCCACTGTTGAAAGCCTGGTCTGTGTTGCATGAATACGAAACAAGCATTTGCAATCTGGTGTCACTGCATCTTGGTTTTAGCTAGTACAGACCTTTACAATTAACACAAGCTTGTTAAAATCTAATAATTCTCAAAGTGTGCTACCAGAAAACTTGTAGACCTGGATACAGGTTTTATTGAATTACCTTAAGGCAACAGCTATTGGGCAGCCATTTACAGGCAGTCTTGAAATATTTTACAGAGATGTTTTTATTTGCATTCACAGAATATTTTCATTAAAGACTTTCTAATGGTTTTTCCTGCTTGTTCATTCAGCCAGTGCCGCTGGGCCGCTCTTCTCCTCCCAGAGCGTGGGAGAGGACGTGGTCTTCGCAGAGGAGGGCCACTCTCTCCCACCACGTAGCCCGGGCGAAACGGGGGCCAAGCAGCACCTTCAGCGTCAGAAGACGTTCTCCGAGCGGAGCTGCAGCTTCAGCGCAGAGAGCCGGGCGGGCATGCTGCTCAAAAAGGGGAGCCTGGAAATGAACGTCGACGAGATCGCCATACAGATGGGAGCAGATGCCAAAATCCTGGCTGCTGCCTTTTCTGGAATCAAAGCCCCATCATCGGACAGTTCATCTGTCCAGGGGATGGAGGATGGGCAGCAGGAGCAACAGGATTCTGTAGAGAAGCTTTCAGTGGAGAGCAGTGTTTCCCCGGTGCTCCCAGATCTTACCGAGGACAATGCCTCTGAAGGGGCAGCGTGTGATAGGTCAGCCCTCTCTGGGAAGGGACCAGAAGTGGTTCTGAGGGGGGAATCTATAGAGAGGGACTCCACTAAGAGGGGCAGTTTATACTCCAAGGCAGTAGAGAGGGAGGATGTGGAGGTGGGAGCTGACCCCTTGTCTCTGCTAGCTTCTGAGAGCCCAGACACTATCTCGGTTCAAAGTGACGAGAGGGCTGTCCCCCTGGTGGTGTCCAGGAACCTGGCTGATGAGATTGAGATGTACATGAACCTCAAAAGCCCTCTGGGCACAAAGTCCTCCAGCATGGAGCTACACCAGGGCGAAGCAAAGGAGGAAGTAGCTCAGTCCGGGTCGGGCAAGGCCCCCGAGCGCAGGTGCAGCCTGCCTTCTGCCGCTGTGGAGCAACCCAGCTCTGCCACTGACCCTCTAAAGCCTAGCCACTCTGTGGCCAGGTCCAAGACCTTCTCCGCAAAGCTCAAGAGCTCCAGTCAGGCCCAGAATCAGCTTTCGTCCTCCCTCACTGCCCTGGTGCGCTCCTCCCCGCACGGCTCTCTAGGATCTGTCATCAACACCATCTCCGGCATCAAGATGGACACTCTGCTCTCTGGCCCCAAGATGGACGTGCTCAAGTCGGGCATGAAGCAGGCTGCCAATGTTGCCAGCAAAGTGTGGGGGGCTGTGGCTTCAGCCTACTCCTACTCAGACGATGAGGTGAGTTCAGTACAGTAGTGTGTTTCTGTTTTGCTTAAGAAATCTTCCATTTTTTTGCCTTAGGATCTTGGTTTGCTGTCATATATAATCCAAACATGTAACAGCAAATGATCTGCCAATACTGTAGGCTACTGAATGAGACACTGATGTTGAATTTCCTTAAATACCATATAGAATTTAATTCCTACAGGGAACTACATCCCTGTGCTTTCCTTTTATACAATACAATTGCATTAGCAGACTTGTAAGAGTTGAACATCTCAAAAAAAGTACTGCATTTTGTGCACACCTTTAGGAATGATCACAGATTCTCATTTCCCTCTTTAGTGATATTTTTCTTGTCTCAAATGAAATGTGAAGGGTGATCACTTTTTTGTCATGGCTTTCAAAAATACATTCATCTTTTATGAGATTTTATAAAGTCAGAGCCCTGTGTATTATTTCCAAGAGATATACTGGAAATGTATTTTTTGGACATATGGGTGTTTTTTTACTACTGAATAGTAAATAAAACTACTGAATCTGCATTTCATCATTCAAGATACTTCAATTGTGATCTATCCCTGTTTTGTAGAATGAGTCTCAGAAGTGAAAGCCAGTTGAAAGAGAGAAATGGACTCACCATGTTAACCTGGTGCAATATTGTCTTTCTATTACCTGTAAAGCCATATTGCACTATATAGATAATACACTTTACCACCAAGTAGTCTGATCTTGTCACATCTCAGAAGCTATGAACTGTAAGACTGAGCCTGGTAAGGACTTTAATAGGAGACTTCCAAGGAAGCCAAAGATGTTGCTGTAAGTGGTGTTGGTGAACTGTAGGTTGTGCTCCTCCATCTGGAGCAGAATTTTCAGATCAATGGCCCAGTTCGGTGGCCAGAGACACTGTGCTGTAAGAGGTGCGCTTCTTCGGATGAGATGTTAAACTAAGGTCTTACTCACTAAAGATCCAGTGGCATTGTTCGTAAGTGTAGAGGTGTTTATCCCCGGTGTCCTGGGTAAACTCCACTCTGGGCTTGAAACTCTGGGCTCCACTCTGACTTCCCACAGTTTCTCCTTAACCCAATGAGTGAAGAATATCCTCACTTCTCTCCCTGACCTGCTGTGTAGCGGAGTGGAGTATAACGGCTGCCATTCGTTGCCCAGAATGGCTGTTTCAGTTCATTGATGCCTAAAGGGCTTAACTTGTTTATCTGAAGATATTTGGGTCCCTTGATGAAAAGTACTACATATGTAAATACAGGGGATGATTTTATTTTGCAATAATATAATCAAGTAGTTCCTTGTGTTGTGTTATTATGCTTCTCCGGATCCAGCATTGTAATTGCCTTCATGTCTTTCTTCCCACGTACAGCAGGAAGACCATTTCCAAGAGGAAGGCAGTTTCCCGGCAGGGTTGGAGGAACACCTCCTGTCCGGAAGCGAGGCAAATGGTCCTGCCCCCAAGGGGGCGATTCCTGGCCTGGCCTCCAACGGGCTCACGCAGAGCAGCACCAGCCTGGGCAGCAGCAGCAGCAGCGACACGGGGAGACTCCATCATCCTGCCTGTGAGCAGCCGTCGTCTTCTCGCGCTACAAGATACTCTCTCGCCAGCGTGCCGACTGCCAGTCAGAAAATCACAGTCACACTTTATTACCAGAACTTTCTAGAATGTTGGAAATGGCCCGCTCAGTGAATGGCCTCAAGAAATTGAGGATTGAAGGTTCCTTTCCACTTATATTTCAGACACCAGAAGAATTCACACTTCCCTGTCAGACGAAGCTTGTTAGGCAAGGATTGACATAAATTGCGACAAGGACCTTTCTCTCCAGTCATCAAATGCTTTTGCAATCACCGTCATTGTCTTTATTCATCAGAGACACTCCATTACTGCCTTCAGGAATTGGGATATATTACTTCTGTACAAGTTGCATTGCTTTTGTACTTGCTGTGTGTCTCTGTTAGTCTGTCTTTCTCCTTGAATTGCCCTTCACATCAGTAATGACAGGTCTCTATGAGCAGAATGCCAAAGAATTTGTGGAGAATGCTAATTCGTGTTTTCCCAAAATTGCAACCCTCTTTAAATGCTTTAAACATACTAGGCGGAGCTTAGCTTCAGACATCGTGCATTTGTTCAGCTTTCAACATGTATAATTTTCATTCTCTGTACGCATATTTCCTAGCCCTTTCAGGTTTTTTCAGTGTCTTTGTAGAGGAACAACTGCAAGCAGTAAGTTGTGGTGCAACACAACCAAGCAAACTGCTAGTGAATTGTGGTTGTTTTCGTGGTGCGCTGTGTGGTAACAGCAGATCCGTCCTGTGTGCGCAGGCGCGGCGCCGCGGTGTGCGAGAGGCCCCGAGTCGGAGAAGTCCGAGCAGAGCTCGCATCACGCCAGCACCTCCAGCATCTGTCAGAACTGTGCGCTTGAGGTGAGACAGGCAGCCTGCTGCCGGGGTAGAAACCCTGCTTTTATGAAATCGCATGTCCACTTACCGTAAGAGTCACCGTAAGAAGAACGATTTAAATTAGTACCCGTCCAGGTAATAATGAGGAAAGCAAAGGAGTGGGCTACGTTTGCTTGGAGTAAATTGCATTCCCTCAGTGTCCGCTAACGAAGGTAACTGTGACTCCAGAGTGTTCGAACTCTTCCCCTTCTTCCTGTTGGAAAAGGTATAAAAGGCCTACGTATAGTCATATTGAAACACGGTGCACTGGTTCTTAAATACCCTGATATTCTCATAGTCATTATCTATGAAAATAATGAAGTGACAGCAGGGACAAGTTAGACAGTGTTGTTTCAAGACCAGTCTGTCTTGACAGGCATCCTGTCTTGTAGCATTTGAAAACACTGTACCTCACAAAACACTACAATTTAATGCTAGCCATAATTTTGTTACTGCTTAATTGCAGTTCTTCTACTGGAGCTAATTATTACTTATGCAGGATGTGTAGATTATATAAACAGTCAACAATAAGACTGCTTTTATAGTTTTGCAGAAACATTTTAAAAATAGAAGGACTTAGTCAGTCAAATCCTGTTGCTATGATCCTACACACTGTAATAATATATAGTATCAAGCAATCTGCACTACCAAACCAGAAAAAAAACTCTATATCTTATGTCTTAAGTGTAATTAGGGTGGTAAAATACAAAATATATTTTTGAAAATTTTCCCATTTTGGCATTTATGTCCAGTTTTTTTGTCAGATGTAGTTGCTCAGGTACAGGCAAATATGCTTCATGTTTAAAGGTGGTTGGCTTCAGATATTCTGAAACTGCTTCCTAGTAAAACTGTACAACCTCCAGACACCATGTAAGCAGATGTAGTTATAAATAAACTGTGAAGCACAACATGAATTAAATAATTGAAGAGTCTGCAATTTCTGCACAGTTTGCTTGCTGTGAATTTTGCCTTCCCTTCCTGGCGAAGCAGACATGACAGAGCTAGACCTCTAGGCACCCCTTCCTCAGCTGGTGTTGCGCCCCCTGCAGGTGCTGATGTCCAGCTGCTCTCAGTGCCGCGCCTGCGAGGCTCTGGTGTACGATGAGGAGATCATGGCTGGCTGGACAGCAGATGACTCCAATTTGAACACGACCTGCCCCTTCTGTCAAAGCACTTTCCTGCCTCTGCTTAACATCGAGTTTAAGGACCTCAGAGGCACTGCAAGGTGAGCTTGTTTTGTCTGTGTACATTGCCTGGCATCTGTAATAGTAATCACCAAATCTGTTTCCATCACAAAAGGCCTTTTTTTTCCATTTTTAGCAAATCCCACATTTCCCTGGTAGCTCTGTTCCTGTACATACTGTCTTGTTTTAAAGCATTAAACAGTGTGGCTTCAGGTGCCTGCTTCTATTGTGGTAGAATAAAAAGAGTAACATTTAACAATTGCAAAACCACACAGTGGAGGTCTTTTTGTTAGGATTAACTGATTACAGTTCATCAAATCTTTGCAACTTTGTCCATTAAAAAAAAATCTTGCTACCCTTGCCTTAACTTGCAACATTTCTCACATTCAGTGGGTGTTTCTGGTACATTAATGCAGAAATCATGAATAATAGAATGATCTGCACAACAAAATGTGTTATTTCTTTTTTCCATTTTTTCTGTGTGATGTTTTAAAACAATAATTGAGAGGCTTGATAATTTTTTTACAGCTTCTTCCTGAAGCCCAGCTCTTCCGGAGACAGCATACACAGCAACAGTGTCCCCATGGCAACGGCTGGGGCTCCTGCTCCTGCTGGTGACCTCATCAGCTTTGCAGACCCCCTAAACGATGGTCCGCTGGGGGTCTCAGGACAGAATGCTGCCGAACAGAACAGGTACCTGGCACTGAGGGGGATCTGGGTTTTTCCATTAAATCACAAATGATGTTTTTCAGCCCCAAAACACTATTATAGGAGTAAAAGCTATATATATGCTTTATGAATCTTTTGACTTATTTTTTAAAGGCTGCAATCAACACAGTCAATGAAAATTGTTCTTTTGCCTTTTTTCTCATAAATATACAAAATGTGTATTTGCTGAAGTATACAAACACAAAACAATATTTCAGTCATTAATTATATGCCTATGTGTATATTTTTACTTTCTTTTACTATTTGTGTATTAAATCGTTATCTCAGGGGAAGTCTAGGCATTTCTGAGTTTATAGACAAGTTCAGCTTCAGCAGATTTTGTCTGTCCGACGTCTGTCAGTGTACTGTCTGTAAAACAGTGCCGCTGAGATTAGAAAGGCTTAGAAGAACAGACGTGTGTCCGGTCCTGTAGAGGGTCAGGGCTGACTTGTCTCCGATGTGGGTCTGCCCCCAGCGAGGGGACTCTCGGGGTCAGGACAGAGCCACTGGGGCTGAGCGACAGGCCGGCTGTCAAGCGAGGAACATCTCTGACTCGCAGCAACAGTGTCGGGGGGCCGCTGCAGAGCATGGACTTCTCCCAGCATCCTTCCCACAGCGTCTCTACAGCCAGCCTTCCCAGCAGCCTGCAGGAGGTGTCGGTGAGCTGCCAATCCGCCGTTTGCCCAAGCAAGGCCCGATACAGCCAACACTGCCCTCTAACTTCAGCTGTAGAGCGCATATCATCACAGGCGATAACACAAAGCTGTCTCTGAAACGACTGAAGACTGTAAGTGAAGTATAACACTCTACAGGTTTTTCCAGTGATTTTTAGAGATTTTAATACATATTAAAACTGCAGAAAGCTTTCAAAGGAGCGGAGGCTATCCTGGTAACCTGTTTGGTAGTTAGTACTTAATTGATCCAAGGTTCTCACTTATTAAAAAAAGCCCAAGAACTGGCTTCAACCAAATGGTTGGGTAGCTTGTTCCACACTGCCACAACCCTATAGATAAAGAAGTGCTTTCAGTTTTAAGTGCACTACCACATAGTTTCCACTTTTGCCTTTGTTTATGTTTCATTGTTCGTTCTGAATAAATCTTCTAGGTTGACTTTGTCAGCATCAAGGATTTTGAATACTTGTATCGGGTCCCCACATTAAGACTAAAAAGGTTCTGGTAATTCAGCCTGTCAGTGCAGGACACTCCCTCATCTGGGTGAATTCTAGCAATTCTATTACACGGTGAACAATTGTTCTCAAACTTGTAGACAGCATCACTTGATTTAAATTCTGCACTTTTAATTGAATGTACCTGAATTTTGTTTGCATTTTTATTACTTCCCTACATTGTCTAGCAAATGTAAATGATATGTTATGTAAAATATAAACACCAAGGTCTTTTCCATAAGAAACTTCCATTTCCCATTTTGTATTTATAGTTATGTTTTTACTACTTACATGCAAATTCTGCACTGTACATTAAACTTAATCTGACAGGTATTAGTCCAGTCATAAATGTGATCTAAATCCTCTTGAATTTCATTTGCTGCTTCTACAGTGTTTTTAGTCCTACTTATTTGGTCTCATCTGCATATTTGACTAGTATACTACCTGTTCAGGAATCCAGATCGTTGAACTGAATTAAGAAGAGCAGTGGTCCTTGTACAGATCTCTGCAGCCTTCCAGAATCACGTTTTCCATTTAGTTACCAATTCTCAATCCAAATACTCCTGTTTTCCTCAAAGTAGGCAGCAGGAATTCAGGTATGCAATTAATCAGGAAGCAAAATTGTAATATCCATCTGAACAAGGTGTGAATAAATAACTGTTTTGAGGCAAACAGTTGGTGTATGCTAAAGTGCAAGTACTGTAGGTTTTTATTTTTTCGTGACCAGTCTGGTAAAAAGGGTTGTATATTATTTTATTCCCAGGACACGTTAGGTCACGAAAGGAGGCCGAACCCCTTGCCCGTGTCTGTTCCCTACCTCAGCCCCCTGGTGTTGCGCAAGGAATTGGAGTCCCTGCTAGAAAACGAGGGAGACCAGGTCATTTACACCCACAAGTTCCTGAACCAGCACCCCATCATCTTCTGGAACCTGGTGTGGTACTTCAGGAGACTGGATCTGCCCAGCTTCCTGCCTGGCCTCATCCTCACCTCAGAGCACTGTAACAACGGAGTGCAGGTCAGACCCCAACGTCTTGTATGGTGAATGTCTTCTTAGACCCCCATCAAAAGAGCAGACAGCAGGACGGGGGTCTTATTCCCCCACTTTGGAATAATACTGCTAGTCTTCGGTTAACATGCACAAAGTACAGTCCTGTACTATGTAAACAGACATTTGGGTTATGGTTGTGAAGGAAAGCTTGCATAGCTCTGGCAAACAATGAAGAAAAGAGGAAAAACGTGGAGGAGTAAAAACATCAGTGTCCAAAGGTGTGTCCCAGGCAGTGCAGACAGCAGAAGCAGCGCCCCTGTGTTTGTGTAGAAGCTGCTGACTGTGCCGTGTGCCTTTTGTCTTGTGGCAGCTCCCTGTGACCTCCCTGTCTCAGGAGAGCAAGCAGGTGTACGTGCAACTGCTGTGGGACAACATCAACCTGCACCAGGATCCCGAGGAGCCACTGTACCTGCGCTGGAGAAGTCTCTGTCAGTCCACCTCACTAACTTCACACACTGCCATCAGCTAAACCTGCATTGGCAATTTCACCGACAATCCAAATATTCTTTAAGTGTACAAAATAACAGACATGTGTTGGTTTTTACCAGTGCCACCTCTCTTAGTACCTCTGTTCCTGTTTAGGTTCTTTCTTTTCTTGGCTGTACTTCACAGTTTATTATGGAGATGTGGAAAAGTCCTAGACTGGTACTTGCAGTAGAAAGGGCTGCATGTATAGTCTTTGCTATGGGAAGTGAAGGCAGATGTGAAAATAACCGTCCTTGCAAACCTAAAAAAGGAAAAAAGTAACATTGGCTTAAAACTACTGTAGGTTTTGATCTAAATTTTGAGAGTTGGGTCTGTACGATGGCATGTGTTTGACTGAATTTTTGTGCATAGGATGTCTGCAAAACAGGGGTGATCATAAAAAGGGCAACATTTTGGCACAAAACATAGGGCGGGGGTTTCTGTTTTTAAAGAAAGATTCAGTTTTGTAGTTGATTTTACTATGTTTTTTAAAGCAGTTGTGTTCTAAAGCCTGTGTTTGTTGTTGCTGTCCTGTTGCAGTGGAAAAGAAGGGCTCCTTGTCACCAGCGGACCATCTGGAGATCAGGACTCTGTTGAACACCATTGTAAGAAACATCCAGGTTAATGATGTTTATGGGCCCATCGGCCTCCTCCTGAGAGAGATCAAGAAACGTCCGGATAACAAACGCCAAAGGTCAGAACTAATGTATCACCACAGGACTAGACACTCAGTTTTCATTGGTTTCGTGAGCCTGTAATCAGGAGACAACAGACCTATCTAGTTTAGCAAGCCCTGAAGTAAGTTTGAACTAATGGATGATGGTTTTTATGGGAGAAATCTGACGAATCTAAGACCAGTTAGGACTACTGTGTGTTAATCAATGTCATAGCATTGAATTGTAGACATTATTTTATTAAGTTAATCATAGGGACTTGGTATGAAATAGAATTTGAAGTTTCCTCTGTAAGGAATATAGTCAGCTTAAGGAGGAGTCTTGGTAAATGTCCCATATCGCCCAACCTCTTGATGAATTCCCTTTGTTTTCTGTGTTTCAGGAGTATTTACAGAGAGATCCTCTTTCTATCTCTGGTGTCTCTGGGGCGAGAGAATATTGATATAGGTGAGTTGTTAATGGCATCTTAAGAGAGATTCCCAGGTATTTCCCATGCTTCTCCATATTCTAGTTTATTTCTTATATTTATTCATGTAGTTATTGCATCTCCATATTGCTCTGTTTTATATGTTAAATAATGTACAGGCATTCATCAGAATGATGTATTTCTATATAGCTTTGAAGTGGTGGTATGTTGAAAACGGACTTGATCTTGGTTACATTATGCTATCACAAAACATTTTGAGAGAATCGTTGTTTTTATCCTCCACACCTAGAAAAGAGACAGTTCAGAATGCCCAAACAGACCTAACCTAACAATGTCTTTGAGAGGTCAGCAGTAAACCAAACTGATCTAGGAGAACATGCAGACCCCACACAAACAGCTGTCCCAAACTGGAATTAAACCCAGGACACTGGAGCTGCGAGGAAGTAGTGCCAACTTTCATACCATCAAGCTATCCTACTTCACCTGAAGTACCTTCATTCAACAATACAGCTAGTACACAAAGCAAGGACAGGTTTATCCTCAGTGACTGCGGATGCTAAATCGTCAAGCTCTATCTTTACAGGATCTTGGCTGAATTTAAAAGACCCTAAATTTTAATATCTCCACAATGAAGTCTTTTTCATTTTAACAATGTTCAAAATAAAAAAATAAGATTTACTTTACCTCACCAGAGTTATCCATTCTGCAGATTTTCTTCAACACTGAGACCTTGTGGTCCCATTAATGTCCTCCAAGCCTGGTGTTTGTATTGAATCAGAAGCACTGGCTTGACTTAGATTTTTAGTCCCTCTCAACATTTTCAATACCTCAATAGCCTTTCACTTGTTTCGTGTACGTTTGTACGTTTATCTTCCGGACCTCTCGGTTTCCAGGTGTTTCGCGTAATGTGTTTCCTTTGTCATGACCCATTTTCACGAGTGTGTGCCGTTCCTTCTTCCATTAAACTCACCCAGTGTCGAAATCTCTTCTGTTTCCAGAGGCTTTTGACCGTGAGTACAAGGTGGCCTATGATAAGCTCAGCCCTGAGCAGCTGAAAGCCCTGGACAGGATCGATGCTCCACCCAGCAACAGCGTCCAGTGGTGCCAGAAGTGCTTTGGGGCCCCAGTCATCTGACAAGGTTGTGACTGGACCTGAAGGAACTGAACCACTAGAGCAACATCGGCCTGGCGCTGACCAGTGCAGGGCAATGGCGGAGCCCCTACCCTCTCAGGGCAGGTGGAGGGAGATAATACTTGTTGAATTATTTTGAAAAGTCTGGAACATCACCCAAAGATAGACAAAGATGGTACTTTTTTAGTGAAACCTTTTGCTTCTGCCTCATTACAATATACGTCATCATCAACCTAGACTTGAAACCGTTCTTTTGTTGGTCCTACAGAAAAAAAAATTCTGTTGTAAAAATGTCATAAATCATGCTTTTCTAGTTGCCCTGTGCTTCTAGATGTATTACCGTATAGAATAAAATCTCTTTGAAGAAATAACTTTTTCTTTAGTAATAAACTCAAAAGCATGTGTTTTCACCTCCCAAGCAAATCATCAAAGGACAACAGGTAGATGAATCTTTAACTAAAAAAAATCCAGCACATTCTTTTCCAGCATGGGATTATAACTGGGTTAGAGTGAGTTTTTCCTTGATTTCCTTGCTTTTTGAGGAGCCTCCTGGTAGTGTGCACATTCTCTAAAATACATGTGAAGAGTCACAATGGCTGTACCTCTAACTCCTGACCAAGATATCACTGAAGCTTCACGTCCCTAAACTCGCGATGGACCTTACGCAATTAGAAATAATAAGAAAGCAAGGCCTGAAAAAAATATTTTGCACTTTCATGTGAATGGCTGTTTGGTGGTTTTCCATTGGCGTCGAATGGTTTTTGTATTTTTTTTTTTATTGACAACGAATCTGAACCAGGGTTGCCTTTTCAATGAGAGCTCTCGCCTTCTCCCTTCTAGTTGTGTATAAGATTCAGTCTTAAGAAAGTGACCTCTCTGCAGTGTTCACTGCACCTTCAGTTTTCTATTACTTGATTGAGGGAGAGGGACCGGAGATATTTTTATACTGTTGTATATAGTGTAGTGGACACTCAAGTAGAATGGGGATTGGAGTTGAGTAGACTGTTAAGTTAACAAATACTGACTGTACCTGTAGACAATCAGTCTGATTTGTAAGAACATTCCAGCTCAAGTTCGTGTTGTGCATTACCTGTCTCGGCACTGCTTGCCTACAGTACGTGTTACAGACAGTTTGTCAATGAGATAATCTGACCTTATTGTCTGATCACTGTGAGCGTTAGGGCCGTTTTTACCAAGGGCAGAGGCGAACCTTAAGGGAAACAATTAAATAGAAAAACTACTGAAAAAAATCAGTTCTCTTCTACAAGTATTGTACCTCCAATCGGGCTTTTTGCTGTACAATTCCTGTCTGAAATTGCACCCTTTCCCTTGAACACATTAATAACGAGACCAACAGGAAGAATTTTTTTCTTACCCAACTGCAGCTGCAAGCTTTAGTTTTGAAGAATGCAGCTTGGTCACTTTTCTGAGGGTTCGATGAACTGTGTAATTGAAAATCAAATCATATCGATTTTAAACTGCAAATCAAATGGTTTTCATGACAAAAAAAAAAAAAAGTGCTTTTGGTAAACTAGATGAGGAGCTGCCACTCCTGGCCCTTGAAGGGCGGCAAACTTCAAGGTTTTTGTTTCGGCAAAGTTCTCAGTGACACAACTGAGCCCTTAACTGACTTCATAATAGAATGAATTTGAGCTGTTTGCAGCTTTTCAGCATGTTGGAGGTTGCCTTTTAACTATCGCATTTCATGAATAAAATAAACTTCCAAATGTTTGATTAAAAAAAAAACCTCTAGATTATTCCAATCAGTCGACTTGTTAGTTCAAGCAAGGCTTCAGTTGGGTAATGAGGCTCAGCTGGAAGGAAAGCCAGCAGCTGTATGGGCCTCCAGACTCCAGAACTGGGAGCCTTTGCTCTAGAGATCATATGAGCTCCTCCTTGCTTGAAGGAGTTTTTTTTATACATTGCATTTATAGACAATGAGAAATTCCCCCTTTAAAAGCTTTTGACACCAGTGTGATCCTAACCAGTCCACGTGTTGGTTTTGGGGACAGTCTAGCCTTTGGAATAGAAACGCATTGCGGTAATGTGTAACTTTTTTTCACTATTTTGATTTTTGTTGGATTGCCAGAAAACCTAATAGATGTTATCATGAGCTGAGATCTCTTCAGCACCTTCACATTTTAACCTAGAAGGGGTTTCTGCTGTAGTTTGTGAGCTTGGCAAGTCATGTCCTGGAGTGGCTGTAAACTGGCGTGAGATCAGATCTCCCTCAAGGACATTTCTAAAAAGTGTCTATTTTCCTCTCAAGATATGCTTGTATGTGTGTGTGTATGTAAAGAGGAAATTAGAGAGTAATGAGACAGAAAGCTGGCTTCTTGAAGCAAGACAAAATTCAAGGTGTTTCTGTTCATGCTAGACTGTCCAAACATTAATCATGTGATCAAGTTGAGTACCATTACATCTTTAAAAGCTGTTTTAGGGATACTCAAACTATCCCCTCATGACACTCACTTCGGGTGTATTAATGTAGTTAACCATTCTTAGAAACAGGAAAAGCGTGAACGATCGATTTTATTTGTTGTTGAGAATATTGTTATTAAAATTGTCAAATTGCACTGCTCTGCTTGGATTTGTACATAAAAATGCCCATGCAGGGCTGGTTTTACTTTTGAAACATCATGATATCAAGTGATTCCAGCACATATTAAATTGTATATTTTATCTTTTCTTTCACTTAGAGATGATGCGCTCTTTAGAATTTGTATAGTGGAGCTGCGCCCTTTTCAGAAAATGTTTAGTGTATCCTTCCAAGTCCTGTCTAGTGTACGTGAATTTGTCTATACAGAACTGAAATGCAATAAATCAGCGTTCTGGTTTAACACACTTTTCTCTTACTGGCGTCTTTTCATGGGGAAGGGATCTGTCTACACAGGTAGAAAATGGATTATCTTTCTAAAAGCTTTCCCTTTTTCTTTTCTGCTTTACTGTTGAAAGTCCAATTGTGCCATGGGTTTATGTCACACAAAACACACAACAAGCTGACCTATGCCTTGTGTTTCTCTGTCCTGTAGTCATTTCTGCTGCCCATGAGATTTGCGGAGTTAATTTTCTCTTAATGACACTCATTCATATAACTATGATGTTAATGTATTTAAAAAAGGTCGTTTTAAATTGTTAAATGTTCAGTTCCAAAAAGTATAATGCAATTCGTTTCCAATGATCTTCAGGTCCATTGTATTACTACCCCCTGCAATTCCTTCGTCCTTCACAAGAGAAGGATGTAGAAGCATCAGGTGAGTGGACCTTGTTCTGGTTTTGTATTTGCTGAAGCATTTTTAGAATAAGTAGATTAAGTACCTTTTACTTTCGAACATCTAGCTTTATAACTATCACCCTGCAACTCATAATTGGCGACCTACTGAATCTCAGCATGTGTGTACCTGGATGGGAGACCTCCTGGACAAAACTAATGTTGCTACTGAAGAGATGTGAGAGCAGTAAGGGGGGATCACTCTGTGGTCTGTGCAGATCCTAATGCCCACCAATTGTATAGGGATGGGGACACTATACTGTAAAAAAAAGGTGCAGTCTTTCAGATGAGATGTACAATTTAGATCCCAACTCAACATGGTCATTAAAAAATCCCAGGGCACTTCTAGAAAAGGATAGGGGTGTTATGCTGGTGTCCCGGCCTAATTTCCCCCTTGGCCTTTACTAATCATAGCTTCATATTACCTGTAAAGTACTTTGGAGTGAAAAGCTCTATGTATGTCTAAGGGATTACTAACTTAAGCCATTTGACTGCTGGTTGGGTATGACTCTTGGTGTGTGAGGCTGCAACCACACTGCTGATGTAATTTTAAGAGCCAGAAAATGAACCCTTTTGGATTATAAGATTAGTTAGCCTGTACCAAGACACCCGAGACTGTGGAGGAATGTGGATCAGGCACAAACCACACACAGCAATTTGGCCCAAGTTACTGGACATCAGTAACCCCTCTCCTCAATTGAGGGCGTTGATCTAGGTTTCACAAAACACCTCACCACAGGTGTATTGTTCCCTACGAACAAATTATTTGATGTTCACATACAGCTCTCTAAAATACTTTTCTATGTACTTTATACAGGTTTTTAAATCAATTCTGTTCTCTTGCACTGTGTGAACTCCACACATGCGTTTCATCTCCTGAGAAATTTAAACCTCCAACCATGGTCTCGTTATTATGAAAAACGTATGTATTTGATACAGATGGGCAAATGTTATGAAGTTACAGGAATGCCACATTTTTGTGTAATTATTTTTTCATGTCTTACTATATTAAAATGTTTGCCAGGGAAAACAATCCTAAAATGATTAATCTATAATGAATGTAAATATTAATTTCATATAAATTACTTAATAGAATTCAGCACAGACAAAGCTGGTAAATTCCTCATAAATAAAAGGTCTCGGGCCTTAACTGCACACTAAATCAGAGTATCCGATAATCCCAAAATACAGAATTCACTTCATACTTGAGAATAATCCCCTTGAAAGCATTATGCTAACTAGAACCCAAGCCTTGTATGCACAACATCCTGATGTATGAATTCCACACAAACACCTCCACGCTGAAAGGTTCAGCAAAACATTTTATTTGTTTTTTACACAGTAAAGACTTTACTTCTGGCTGGATTCGGACTTGGAAGTGGAGGCTCTCAGAGAGGAAAGGCGACGTCTCTTGGCAATCTGTTCCTGACGTTTCTCCTTTGCTTCCTACCAAGAAAATCAAAAAGACAGAATTGTTTCAAAAAAACAGGCCTGAAGTGGTCAAATAATTTGAGAACAGCAATTCAGATGCAGACAGGACTAAACTCCAAGGAATCACAAAATGCACAACACTGTACACCAGGAATCACCAAATCCTGGTCCTGGAGAGCCCTTATCTTTTTTTTCAGACTAGGACCAATTTAAAGTTATTGATCAAGGCAGAAAACAGATGGTTCAGATAAGGGAACCCCTGGCCCCTTAGGCTTAAGGTATTTGGATTTTTATAATGGTTTCCAAATTATACATGTAATCAATCACCATTAAAGCCTTCCAGAACTTTTAGCAACCAATGAATTAAGGATCTGCCTATAAAACCTGTTGTATCGGGGCTCTTCAGGACAAGGGCTGGAGAGCTCTGTTGTAGACTCCATCAGTGAAGAGCACATCATTGACAATAGCTCTCAGGACATTAATGCCCATTTCTCCACTAATTATCCACACAAAAACCAGCACAACACACAACCGATGCGTTTGGTACTCTGATTTTCAGAGACTCTACTACCATCATTCTGATTAAATTACAAAAGCTGTGCAAACATTTTACCACTACCGTGTACA